GTATGTAAAAAATGGGAAGAATTATATGAATTAATATAGATATATTTTTATATTAGCTTTTTCATATACATATTTTATTATTTTTTATATTTATATTTTTTATTGATTTAAGTATCATGATGTTTAGCATTACAATTTTTTTATGAATGTTGATTTTGAGATAAAATAATATATTATTAATAAATATAAAAGAATAAAAGAAAAATAATAATAAAACTGTAAATATAAAAATTGATATATTTAATAATAATTAAATTTAGAATTAAAATCACATATACATATAGAAGGTATAAAATTTTGGAAGTAATAATTCCTCACTTCTTAAATATAGGTTACTCTTTTCATCTCTCAAAAGATCTATCTTCATCCTCGTCTATTTTAGTTAGGGATTACAAAACGGGTCAGTTCGTCTCGTTTTTAGCCGTCAAAGTGAGGTGGATCGATTAACCCGCTATAGTCATGGTGGACTATAGGTCTTGGTCTACCCAGATCAAAGGGCGGTGTGCAGGCTAGCTTGTCATATTTTTTATTTTATTATTTTTAAATCAAATCTTTCAATAAATTTAATAATAAAATTATCATTGTCAACAATTTAATATATATATATATATATATTTCAAGTTAATAATATAAATTGATATACTATATTTTAGTAAATTATATTTTAGAACAATTAAATTAAGATAAAATTTATATAATAATAACTACATGTATGTAACAGTAAAAAAAATATTAAATCTTTATTTTTATATTGAAAAATTTAAACATTTAAATGAAAATTACATTATATTTATTTATTTTATAAAATTTCACATTGTTCTCCCATTGAGTAATTATCACATCTTCAATTCAAAACAATAAATGTCAAGGATCAATATATGCAGTATTTGAATATCTCTCCAGTTTTTCATCTTTCTCATTTCCTTCCTCATCTTCAACAACACTAATAATAAATGAGTCGTGAGAGAGAAAAATACTAAGAGAAAAAATAAACCTTACGAAAGTAACAAATATAAAAGAAAGTAAAGAAATATGAAATATATATGGTTTTTACTTTATGAAGAAGGAGATGATGAGTAAGAGGAGATGAAAGAAAGAAAGGTTTGTGCTTGAGAAATGAAAGTGTTTCCGAAACCCGAGTTTAAATAATTATAAAACTTTTTGAATTCTTTTAGTAATGAGACTTTATGAATTTTCTTTATGAGACATTGAGACTTTTAAAATCCTTTTTTCATAAATAAAAAAATTATTAGTAAAGCGGGTCGGGGGCTGGTCCGTCCTAACCTGCGAGTTGGTAGGGTAGGACAAAAGAGATTGACGGGCTGAAAATACAAACCCACGTCGTCGTATTATGGCGAGCCAAACCTATCTCATTTTACCCCAAATTTCAGTATTAAAAAGAGATCAATTAATTTAACTCAAAAAATTATTATTAATATCGTGATCAATCATACAACTTTGGACTATATTTTATTTTATTGTTATTATTTTTAGTCAAAAACATAAAATATTAGTTGGACCTGTTGTATAAAATCAAATCCATCAATAATAAGTAATCAATTGAATAAAAAAATTATGTATGAACGCAAAGAAAGTGAGTGTTCATCTATATCTATGTTAGATAGAAAGCTAAGTAATGTAAATGGAAAGTAGTGGTTATCTATCTAAATATCTATATTCATTTATTTAAGGAATGTGATAGCGATGGATTGATATTTGAATTGAAGATGAGAGAAAGTTAAAAAGCATAATAGAAGCCCATACATTTGTTGTCACAAACTATACTAGTTTGTTGAATAATGTTGAGAAAGAAAAATCATAAAACAGATAGAAGAGAAGCATAATTTCAACGAATTAGTTGAATGTTGCTATCCCTTTTACTCATTCTATCAATTTCTCAATTGGTGGCAACTCTTTTCATTTCCTCTTTCATTTTCTATGCAATATGTAATACATACATGCACTCACCCCTTTTACAATTTACAATATTAATTATTTAAGTAATATTCCTCATAATTCTCTTTTAAATTAAAAGTTATCTAATAAATATGAATAAAGTGACATATTACTTTATTTATAATATATTAATCTTAATAAATATCATGATACTTGTGGAAGAGGTCACATGCATATACAGAAACATTTTCAATTGAAATTGACAATGTTGCTTGTATTAATGCAAAGCGCAACCATAATTTCAATGAATCAGCTGCATCTTCTTATCCCTTCATTTTGAATCCATCCATTTTCTCACCATTCTCCATCCAAATTGTTGCCTTATCTTATTCGATCGCTTAATTTTTCTTTAATTGGATCATACGTGCTCATTGTTTTCTTCTAATTTCATCGCTACAAATTAACGAAAAATCATCCTTTATTTTATTTTATTTTATTTTAATTAATTTATTTGGAAATATTATAATTAATTTAACATTTAACCTTTTTTTTTTCATAAAATAAAATCTTGTTGCTCTGTCTCCTTCTCATCTTCCACTTTCCTCCATCACGTTCTTCTATCTATAATTAAGAATCACTCTATTATTATAACAATGTCTGCTTAAATTCAAAACAATTATTGGAAAGTTTTGAACTATCATGTACCCAACATATAATTCAAACAATTCTAATGTAGATTGGGGGAGAAATTAAATTATATTAATTGGTATTTTATCAAATATGATATCATTTAATATTTTTTATTGAATACTGTTTTTTAAATATTGTTAGGTTAAAAATTATATTCACATAAATCATATATATATATATTTTATATTAATATAAATTTATTAATGTATCAAAATAGGTGTAATATATATTTTTTAAAATATACTAATATATTATTTTATTAGTTTATTAGTGTGATAATTAATATAAATTAAAATATTCATAAAAACATAACAACTTATATGCTATACGAGTTTTTTTTTTTTTTTTTTTTTTTTTTTTATAAACTTCTGATAAAATCAATTTACGTATGAATTAACTTATAGAAACTTTTTTATATAAACTTTTTTATTTTTTTATTCCTAATTTTTTTTATATAAATTGATTTAATTTTAAAAAAAATTCATTTGTTATTTTTATGTTTTTTTTGCTTCTTATAAAAAAGTGAAAGCATACATTTACATCTAATATTTGATAAAGCATTATTTTGCTCGGGTTATGTTTTCCACAAAGTCGCTATAAGCAGTTGGCAAACATTAATTACGTTGATAAAATTTACTTTTATTTTTGTAAATAGATTAATTAAAGAGTAATTAAGATTAAGACAATAGATGGTTACGTCAAGGATGTTGATAATTGAAAATAATGTCAAACACATCGCTAAAGGATTGATGGAGAGTATACTTTTAATAGATAAATTAGTTAGTTTAATTGAATAATTTGAATTTATCCAATAAATAAAAAAACAGACTTTATTAAAAATGGAATTAATTTTAATAATTATAAATTATGTTTCTTTCAAAAAAAAATTAAAGATACTGTTTATTTCATTTAACTGGATTTTAAATTTTAAAATATTAAGTAGTTATATTAAGGGAATATTTTGTGTTTTTTTTTTTAATAAACAAAGTCTACAAATAAGAATGAATTAACAACGCTCTAAAAAACTAAAATAAGAGATTGATCCATATTTAAAATTAAAGACTCAAAGTATATAAGGATAAAGAAAATATTTTAAAACAAGAGTAGTAAGCGAGTTTTAATTGTAATTAGTTTTAAACACATATTAATATCAGCACTTGCGTCTACTTGAGGGCTAAGTCAAGCTGAATTAATTAATTAAACCAAAACCACTTCTGGTACAATAAACTTAGAAATAATTTATCATTTATTTCCCTAATTTATTTCTGTGGGATTATTTATGTAATTATAATACGTAATTATTTAAGTGGAGTATAATTTATTTTGTATGCATTTATTGTATAATATATATTTTTTCAATTTATGTTCATCTAAAGTTTTTTTTTTAATTTGAATAAAAAATTAAACACAATATCACATTTTGAAAGTTAATAAAAATTAATTCAATTAAAGATATATGTATACACCAACATGATGTTGGTCAAAGTGAAAGAATACTTAAATCCCTTCAACGAAGTTTTCTGATTGTTTTATAAATAAATAAATAAATAAAAGTTAAAGTTTTCATCATAGGTTAATCATGAGAAGAAGAAAAAACTGATTAATGATTTATTTAAATATAAAGAAATTGAAGCCCTAAATGGGGACTAAAAGAATGTTTGAATAACCTGATGATATACATAATGGTATTTAGAATTTTTACGTAGTATATTTGTAAAAATGAATATAGTATATATTGGGATGACATTGTAGATGTGATGCACGCATGTCAACTTATGTGCGATATTCAGAGATATGCATATAGTTGATTCAGAGACCATTAAAGTTTCTCGACTCCATTGGGAGATGTTAGTTGAGTTCTGAACTGGTCTAAACTAAAGTGGCTGCGAAAATGAAGTTTTGCAATTTGTTCTAGTGTGAACTGGTTGGTCCACACCGTATTTAATAACTTTGACCTACTCCAACGAGATTCCTGTTCATGCAGCACAAATCATAACTGGCCGAAAAGGGTTAGAAAAATCTTGCGGTGTCCGTTGATGAATTGGAAAAGAAAATAGAATGGAAAAGACCGGGGATCACTGGCAACGACACACACGCTGGAATATTTATTTATTTGTCCAATTTAATGAAAGCTTTCATTTTATTTATTTTTGAGAATGAGAGTGAGAGAAAGGCACTGACCACACTCAATATCGACTGGTATTCAGAGTTGTCTGTGGGCACACCCTCACCCTTCTCAGGCAACTTGTCAAAGCTGAGTGACGTATAATAACTTGCACATTGCACAAAAAATGACACTACATAATAACTGCGTGTGTGTGTATATAATCACATGCGTTAGCACTTGAAACATCCACAATTACAAACATATATCCTCATTCTCTTCATCCCTAGCTTTTTTCTTATAGCTAGAGATGGATCTTTTGTTATTATGCCTCCTTCCCTTCTTATTCTACTCTTTCTCTTCCCTTTTCAAGTGGATTCTTCAACGTAGAGGCCAACCATGTTACATGTTGGCCTACGAGTGCTTTATGCCGCCAGAAGACACGAAACTTGACACTAACTCTGCGACAAAGATCATCCTACGAAACAGAAAGCTGAGGTTGGAGGAGTTAAGGTTTCTCCTCAAAACCATTGTCAGTTCGGGAATTGGGGAGAACACTTACTGCCCCAGAACCGTTCTTGAAGGGAGAGAAGAATGTCCAACTCTTAAGGACACGTACGAGGAAATAGACGAGATCATGTTCGACACACTCGACGGCCTGTTCAAGAAGACGGGAATTTCACCCTCCGAGATAGACATCCTCGTGGTGAACGTGTCCTTGTTTTCCCCAGCACCTTCTCTCACGGCACGCATCATAAACAGGTACAAAATGAGAGAAAATGTCAAAGCCTTCAATCTTGCAGGGATGGGGTGTAGTGCAAGTGTTGTTGCTATTGATGTGGTGCAACAACTGTTCAAGACTTACAAGAACTCTGTTGGGATTGTTGTGAGCACTGAGGATCTTGGTGCGCATTGGTACTGTGGAAGAGACAAGAAAATGATGCTTTCCAACTGTCTCTTTCGCTCTGGTGGCTGCTCTATGATGTTTACAAACAAGCCCTCTCTGAAGGGCCGTGCAATATTGAAACTGAAGCACATGGAGAGGACTCAGTACGGTGCTGATGACGAGGCTTACAACTGCTGCATACAGGTGGAAGATGAGCTGGGGTATTCAGGTTTTCGCCTCACCAAGAGTCTGGTCAAGAGTGCTGCTCAAGCGTTGACAGTGAACCTTCAAGCGATGACACCAAAGATTCTGCCACTGTGGGAACTAGTAAGGTTCTTTTTTGCCTCTGTAAGGTACAGTGGGATGAAGAAGAGAGAGATGGTACCCTTTCTCACGGGCCTGGTTTTTGGGAAGAGTAAAACGAAGAAGACAAGATTTAATGTGTTGGGAGGGGGTTTGAATTTCAAGACAGGGATAGATCACTTTTGCGTGCATCCTGGAGGGAGGGCAGTTATTGATGGGGTTGGCAAGGGTTTAAGGCTGAATGAATATGACCTAGAGCCTGCGAGGATGGCACTTCACCGTTGGGGAAACACTTCTGCTGGTGGCCTTTGGTACGTTTTGGGTTACATGGAGGCCAAGAAGAGGCTCAAGAAGGGTGATAGGATCCTCATGATTAGTCTTGGAGCTGGGTTCAAGTGCAACAACTGTGTTTGGGAGGTGATGAGAGACTTGTCTGATACTAATGTGTGGAAGGACTGTATAGAAAGTTACCCTCCAGACACCCTTATCAACCCTTTCAAGAAAAAGTATGATTGGATCAACGAGGAATATCTCAGCTTTGTGAGGTTGGATTTTAGCAGAATGGTCCTCTAGATCGACTGCAGAGAGGGGAGGTATAGTTCAGTAAAATAAGAAAGATGGGAAAAGCAATATAAACTCTAGATCAAAGTATACAGGTTAGTTATTTGACTAGGAAGTTGGAAAATATGTCATGATATGTTAATTTTCCAGCTTTAAAAATATTTGATCTCGTTCATGTTTAAACACAGTTCAATATATTTGTTAGAGGAAGAACAGCAAGTGTAGAGTTGATTTCTTGAGAGAAACTTGAAAACCATGTACTATTATTGCAATATTGATGAAATAAAGTTTCATATCATAAATGTGCGTGTGGTATTGTACTCAACAGAGGTTACAGACTTGTCCTGAATTTCTGCATGGGTGTCTCTTACTGGGACATTTCCAATGAGTTCTTCCTTTCTTCTTTATGTGTTTGGGTATGACAAAAGTCAAGATCTCTCATATTAGTGCATGGAGAATAAATTGAATTACTGTGCATTATAATAGAAAATGATTGTTTGATAATGCAAGATGAAATATAAAAGTTATAATAGTTCATAAACATTTCAAATATATGGGTTAGTATTGATATTTGAGTGGGACATAGATCCTTAATTGGCTGTTTCTAGTTCAATAATTTGTAATAAAGTATTTATTATAGACTTGAGTTATGGTTGAAACTGAACACTACATTAACTCTTAGAGTATGCATTTTTGATAATTTCTAATCCTAAACCTGGTATGGGTGTTTTCAATGTCTTTATCCTTACTTTTAAGAAGGAAACAAAAGGAAATTAATGAACTGGTATTAGAACTGCTAGCTGCAAAATTCTAATAAGTAATATAATTTTTAAATACTCTCTTTTATTCTAAAAACCAATCATTAACTTATCTATATTCTATGTCTACATCAATTTTCAATCATTCAAGTAATTTTTCATAGTCTACCTATTCATTTCAGTTAATCCATTTTTCTAACTTCTATCCTCCTAACTTCTAACAGCTGATTTCTATCGAGTTTATTGAGAAAGAGAAAAGGAAACAAAAAGATTGTGAGTATACAATAACTTGCTATACACAAATAATTTTCTTTTTCTCTGTCATACTTCAAGTATTTATTACCACTCATTATAATAAATATTGTTTCACTGACATGTCATAAGTTTTAGGTCGGGGTGTAATATACTATATACATGATACATTTTTATTTTTATACAATTAAAATTTAAATAAAATTAGTTACACTTTACTCTTGAGTATTTACTATTTCAATAATATAATTTTAACACTTATAATTATCAACATGACAGTGTTGTGGTACAGACAGTGCCATATAGCAGTTTTGTTACATATTAACATAGTTGGAGATGAATTCGTATAATAAAAGAAGAAGACTGAGATTAGATTTTGATTATATATGTGTAATAGAGAGAATGAGGTAGGGCAACGTTCATATCCTAAAAATAAAAGAAAGAAAGAAAGAAACGATTGATAAAATGAGTTATGTGATATAAAAGAAAAATGGTGATGACAGATACACACCTCATTTCAATAAACATGTATAGTCCATACCTCTATATTATTGTTATCTCTTTATTTGTCACGTCAAATCTTCTATAAATTTATTATTTTCTCCTTTTATTTTATTCATTTTTTCCTTTTTCTAGTTATGTAGGAGTAGTCTGAACGTTGACCCAAGGAAAAAAGTTTCATGTGGGTGTGACAGTACAGCAGTATTTAAAACTGTTCGAAACATGAAACATGGAGAGTCTTTTGCATGCAAGTGCAAATAATGGCTTACAAGCACAATATGCAGAGTGAATCTGAATACCTCATTACTACATTGGCAAAAGATGGTACAAACATTAACTGATTCTGGCCTTGCAGCCACAAAGAAATTAATATTTAAATAAATAATGAATTAATGTTGTGTGGCTGAGGGTAAAAGAAGAGAATAGAAAAGAAACTAAACTAAACTACCAGTCAAGGTTGCAATCTGGCACATTTATTGCTCTTTAGCTTTCTCTTTCTCTTAGTTTGTGATTTATACACATATCATGGAAAATACCTTTTCTCAAGATCTTGTTATGTATATTGTTGACGTGGATTCCTCAGAACGACTCTTCGAGTATGTGGAGGTGGAGGGTGAAACAGTTCAGAACTTCACATGTGTCATCACTTGTAATGATATGATAGACATGGATGGATATCGAGCTTCTTGTATTGCGCTTTGCCTAATTAAAAGAAAACAACCATGGGTAGTTTAGTCAGTTTGAGTTCGCAATGACTATGAACATTGAAAGGACAATGATATGTGTAAACTTTAATTTGTGGGGGCTTTCAACATTTAATCGGTGATTTGCCTAACTCAATATTTTAAAATCGACTCATGCACATTATTCTTGGGTAAGTAAGAAAGAAAAATATGAAAATATGATTCAAACTGCAGTTTGAGGAAGCCAAGATAGAAACTGATATCTGCAAAATAGGATGAAGACGTGCCATTGGATACAAAACACTACCAAACATTAACAGAAATGCTGCTGCAAATGTGAATCTCAGCCAACAATTTTGAGAACAGATATAAATCAAGATTTTGAGGAATATTCAGTGGGTGGTGTTTGGATGGAAAGTGGAACAGGAAGAGCAAGAAGAACCGTTACCATGTCCATCATGGGAGGGACTTCAATCCACTTCTATTATGGGAAGATTAATTTCATCACTTCCACCCACTTCCAACATGGGAAACATTTTCACCACCGGTTGGTGTGAATGGCACGAGTGTAAGTGATATGTTAATGTTACCATAATACGAAACAACCAAAACAACAACCATATGGAGACATCATGTTATTGTTAGGTTTAGAAATGTATCCATTTGGTGTGCTAATAAATGAGTGAAATGTTATAGGGGATGATCATTTCGCATCCCATTCAATCAATTAACAACTAATTATATTAATGTGATAATAATATTATTATATTAATATAATCAATTGTTTGATACATATGTCACTTGTCAAATGAACATTTTTTAATATTATATATCTATTTGTCTCTGTATATATTTAAGAGTAATTGCAATATAAGCTATAACATTTATTTAAGAGTAATTAGTAAATAATTATAGTTTAGGATAATGATTTCAATAACACTGATTTATTAATTTGTTCTTCATTTATAAACATTCTATAACTCAATATCAAAGAGTTGCCTGTAGGGCACACTCTCACCCTTCTCATGCAACTTGTCTCAATGAGTGGCCGACAACTTGCACACTGCACAAAAAATGAAATTACATAACCCTGTGTGTATATAAATACACATGCATTTCCACTTGAAATACCCACAATTACAAGCATACATCCTCGTTGCCTTCATTCCTAGTTTTTTTCTAATAGCTAGAGATGGATCTTTTGTTCTTAAGCCTCCTTCCCTTATTCTATTCTTTCTTTTCGCTTTTCAAGATGATTCTTCGACGAAAATGCCAACCATGTTACATGTTGGCCTACGAGTGCTTTATGCCGCCAGAGGACACGAAACTCGACACTGACTCCGCTATAAAGATTCTCCTACGAAACAGAAAGCTGAGGTTGGAGGAGTTAAGGTTTCTGAAACAGTAATATTATGGACAATATTTGTCGACAGGAAAATCAACTAATGAAATGGTTTAACAATAGTATGAATGAACAAATGAACCAACAAGAAATTCCTGTATAAATGGGAATTAGCGTTTCTCGTATTCGAAAAGTCAGAGTAGCTAACAAAATGCTGAATGAATCTTTATATCCCAGCAGAAGAAATAAGGAGTGAAGACAATTCAAAAAAAAAGAAAGAATATAAATGGAATCAGAAAGGGAGAAAGACTGTTTGAGACGGATAAGAAGAAACTCAGAGAAAGGGCTCATACTACACGCATAATCATCCCCCGTTGCATATCCTTCCAATTTTGTGCTTCTCTTCCTAACCCTTGTGTTTTTCCTCGTGCCCTTTTTCCGGATTAAGTGTCATCTGGCCACCAAGCATAACTAACTCTGCTTTGATGTCACTGTCCAGCTGTATATCTTGTTCCAGCTCATGAGCCACGCTGACAGTCCCTTGGTTACATGTTACATTGTCCTCCCCATCCGAAGCAACCTTGTCCTGAAGGTTGAATTGTGGAAATGACTTTTTAATCTCCAAAACATCCTCCCACGAAGCCTCATGTGGTGCTGTCAGCTCCCATTGAATTAAAAGTTGAGGAATTTTAAATGAGCCTCTAAAAATGGTCCGAGAAGCTAGGACTTTAAGGAGTTGGACTGGGGGACCAATTTCTGTTGTCGTCAATGGTAGAGGAAAATACTACTGCTGAGGGTCTCCCTGAAACTTCTTAAGCAGTGAAATGTGGAAAACTGGATGAATTCTGGCCGTGTTCGGTAACTTCAACTTGTAAGCCACTGTACTAATTCGATCTATGACTTCAAATGGACCAAAATACTTCAGTCCCAACTTCTGGTTCTTTCTCAAGGAAACCGAATGCTGACGATACGGTTGGAGCTTGACTAAGGCAAATTCTCCCACCTCCAGCTGTAAATCTCTTCTTTTCCTATCTGCCTGATTCTTCATATAACTCTGGGCCTTTGACAAGTTCTGCTTCAACTTATCCAGTAGCCTATCCCGCTGCTATAGAGTCTCTTGAACAGAGGGAGGGTCCTTTCCATGGTATACATATCGGGTAACAGAGGGAGGGTCTTTGCCAAACAAAGCTTTGAAGGGGGACATATCAATGCTATGATGATAAGAAGAGTTATACGAGAATTGTGCCCAAGGTAAGAGAGTGAACCATGTTTTAGGACTGTCATACGACAAGCACCTCAAATACATTTCCAGTGTCTTATTTAACACTTCACTCTGCCCATCGGATTGCGAGTGGTAAGAGGAGCTCATGGCCAGGGTCGTTCCTTGTGATTTAAAGAGATGCTGCCAAAAAGAGCTGATGAAAACTCGGTCCCTATCCAAGACAATGGATTTGGGAATCCCTTGCAACTTAACGATGGTGCTGATGAAAACTTCTGTTACACCCTTACTTGTGAAATCCGACTTAAGAGTAATAAAATGACCAAACTTGGACAATCTATCAATAACCACCATAATTGGTAATGAAGTCCATGGCAATGTCATCCCAAACCTAGTGCGGAATTGGTAATGGCTGTAACAATCCAACCGGTGATGCTTGGCTAACCTTTGCTTGCTGACAAATGCTGCACTCGCGCACAAATTTTCGGATATCCTGTTGCATCTTAGGCCAATGAAATTGTGCACAAATCCTTGCAACTGTCTTAGTGACTCCTGCATGACCACCTATCTTGGAACTATGAAATTCATGCAACAGTTGAGAAATAAGCTCCTCATTTTGGGGAATTACAATTCTGCCTTTCCATAACAGCAACTCATCCCTGATGGTATAGTCATGGTGTGGCATTGTCTTGGCCTCACATTTCTTGTAAATTTGCTTAAGTTCTTCATCTTGCTGAATCATTACAGCCACCTTAGCTAACTAAGTAGTGATTGGTTCTGACCAAGCCATCATCAAGCTTCTGGATAAAGCATCTGCAGGAATGTTCTCTTTGCCAGACTTGTATTGTATTGTAAAATCATACCCCACGAATTTTGGCAACCACTATTGTTGTTCTGGAGTTTGCAGATTCTGTTCCAACAACTCCTTTAAGCTTTTCTGATCCGTCTTAATGGTGAATTTGTGCCCCAACAAATAGTGTCTAAATTTGGCTAAAGCCTCAATAATAGCATAGAATTCCCTAACATATGCATATTGCCATTGCATTCTAGGGGATAATTTCTTAGAAAAATAAGCTACCGGGTGTTGTCCTTGACTCAAAACAGCCCCAATGCCAGAACCTGAGGCATCGGTTTCCAAGATAAAAGGTTCCTGAAAATTGGGAATAGCTAAGACAGGTGCTGATGTCATAGCAGCCTCAAGTTTGTGGAAGGCCGCGTCAACTGCTACATCCCATTTAAAGGAGTCCTTCTTCAGCAAATCAGTTAGAGGTGAAGCAATGCTGGCATATCCTAACATGTAACCAAGAGACTGCCAGCTTGGCTCATGAGATGGAGCAAGATATACAACTGGCAATGACATCAAGGTAGAGTTAGTTATGCCTAGTGGCCAGATGACACTTAATCTGGAATAAAGGGGGCACGAGGAAGAACACAAGGGTTAGGAAGAGAAGCACAAAGAGAGGATTATGAGTGTGGTATGAGCCCTTTCTCTGAGTTTTTTCTTATCCATCTCAAATAGTCCTTCTCCCTTTCTGATTTCATTTATATTATTTTTTTTTTCTAGATTATCTTCACTCCTTATTTCTTCTTCTAGGATACAGAAATTGATTCGATGTTCTGTTAACTACTCTGACTTTTCAAATACGAGGAACGCTGATTCTCACTTATACGTTAATTTCTTGTTGACATTTACGTACTCGTTACGATTTGTTGTTGGTTCATTTATTTATTGATACTGTTCTTAATATTTAAGAACATTTCAACCGTTGATTTTCCTGTAGACAATTGTATTATCCATAATATTACTGTGCAAATCAGTCCCTTGGTTACATGTTACAGTTTCTCCTCAAAACCATTGTCAATTCAGGAATAGGAGAAAACACTTACTGCCCCAGAGCCGTTCTTGAAGGGAGAGAAGAATGTCCAGCTCTTAAGATACGTACGAGGAAATGGACGAGACGAGATCATGTTCGACACACTCGACGGCCTGTTCAAGAAGATAGGAATTTCACCCTCCGAGATAGACATCCTCGTGGTGAACGTGTCCTTGTTTTCCCCAGCACCTTCTCTCACAGCACGCATCATAAACAGGTACAAAATGAGAGAAATATCAAACCCTTCAATCTTGCAGGGATGGGGTGTAGTGCAAGTGTTGTTGCTATTGATATGGTGCAGCAACTCTTCAAGGCTTACAAAAACTCTGTTGGGATTGTTGTGAGCACTGAGGATCTTGGAGCACATTGGTACTGTGGAAGGGATAAGAAAATGATGCTATCCAACTGTCTCTTTCGCTATGGTGGCTGCTCTATGATGTTTACAAACAAGCCTTCTCTGAAGGGCCGTGCAATATTGAAACTGAAGCACATGGAGAGGACTCAGTATGGTGCGGATGACGAGGCTTACAACTGCTGCATACATGTGGAAGGAGTCTTGTCAAGAGTGCTTTTCAAGCGTTGACAGTGAACCTTCAAGCGATGGCACCAATGATTTTGCCACTGCGGGAAATGGTAAGAGGGACATGATACCCTTTCTCATTGGGCTGCTTCTTGGCAAGATTACGAAGAAGACGACTAGAGTTAATGTGTTGGGAGGGGGTTTGAATTTCAAGACAGGGATATATAGAACACTTTTGCGTGCATCCTGGAGGGAGAGCAGTTATTGATGGGATTGGCCAGGGTTTAAGGCTGAATGAATATGACCTAGAGCCTGCGAGGATGGCACTTCACCGTTGGGGAAACACTTCTGTTGGTGGCCTTTGGTACGTTTTGGGTTACATGGAGGCCAAGAAGAGGCTCAAGAAGGGTGATAGGATCCTCATGATTAGTCTTGGAGCTGGGTTCAAGTGCAACAACTGTGTTTGGGAGGTGATGAGGGACTTGTCTGATACTAATGTGTGGAAGGACTGCATAGAAACTTACCCTCTAGATACCCTAAACAACCCTTTCAAGGAAAAGTATGATTGGATCAACGATGAGTATCTTAGCTTTGTGAGGTTGGATTATAACAGGATTGTCCTCTAGGTGGAATACAGAAAGGGGAGGTATGGTATAGTTAAGAAAAATAAGATATGGAAAAGAAATCTATCAAACTATACAGAGGTTAATTATTTAATCAGAATGTTGTGTAATATGTCTTTATAAAAAAAAGAAAAATGTCATACCAACTCATTATATTAATATTTTTAGTTCTATTGGTTTTCTATGAATCGAAAAAAACTCATCACAAGAAACTTAAAAACCATGTATTGTGTAATATTGATGGAATGAAGGTTTCATGACAACATGAGTGTGGTCTTGTTATCAACTGCACTAGCTGACTTGCGCCAAAAGCACCTTGTACTGTTTTTTAAAATTATGTAAAAAGATAAGTTTTATTTTAAAACACGATTTAAAAAATTAAACAATTCTTTTAAATATGATTCTTGTTTTCTTATTTTGCTTATATTAAATACTGGATTCGTAATTCAAGATTTTAATTTGCTTAATTTTATTTTACATTTTAAAATTATTTGTTTTTAGAAGTTGAGTTTTTGTTCTTCGTATCTTTTTAAGTTGTTGTATATTTTTATATAATAATATAATCAATTTATTATTATTATTATTATTATTATTATTATTATTATTATTATTATTATTATTATTACGTATTATACTGTTTTTATTTTTATCATTACACAATTATAAAATTATTATTTTTATTTTAATAATATTATTATTATTATTTTATTTTTATATTATTCTTGTATTTATTAATTTTAGTATTCTTTATTAGTATATTTATTGTTATTATTATTATTCATTATAAAAAATATAGTAAGTATAATAATAATAAACTTAATAATAATTACAATTTTAATAATAATTAAGCTATTCATGTCTAATTTCTTATTTTGATAAAATATTTTTAATTATTATTAAATATAAAAATTATTATTACTGTGTTTTGAATTAGATATAACTCACATTATATGACTTTTATTTATATAGGTCAAATTGAACTTAGATAAATTATATCATAGTAGATAAAGTTAGGTGATATTAGGATAGATTAATGAATAACATTATATTCTAGTAGGAGAAATTGTATTAGGTATTTAAGTCGAGTTTGACTTATATATTGGGATGAGTTATGTTAAATTAGAATGAATCATACCATATTAAAGTTGAATTCAAATGAGTTAAAGTCGAGTTCTAAGTGAATAGAACATGTTATATTAGATAAATTGAATAAGAGTAAGACAAGATACATATCAAGTTAAGAGATGTTAAATAAAAATGAATCAAGTTAAACCAAGATAGTCAATTCATGATAGATTGTGTCAAGGTGGGTTATGCCTTTTATAGCTAGTTGGGTTGAAGGATTAGATTATGTTTAAATAAGTTAGGTTGGAATGAAGGATAAAATTAGGTTTAAATAAGTTAGGTTGGAATGAAGGATTAGATTGAATTTAAATAAATTAGGTTGGGATGGATCTAATCAAGATAAGTTGAGTCCAAAAATATATGATGAACTAGATTAAAATTATGTTTCCAAAAATAAAATCATGTTTTTAAAGATGAAATCAAATTTTTAAATATGATTTTTTTTAAATCAAAATAGTGAAATTGTGTTTGAAAGTACAATTTTAATTATTTATTTAATTTTGTTGCCTTTTTATCTTTTAGTGATGGTTTCTAAATACTATTTATATTTTTGTTTAGTTTTTTATTTTATATTCTTATATTAATATTTTGTTATTATTAATATGAAATTCATTATTTTATTATATTTTAAAAATAACAACTTTAATAATAATTATAAGTATAACAATAAACCATAAAATAAAAATAAAAACAATAATATTAATAATGCATAATAACAAAATTAATAATAATTATTATTCATTTTATTATATATTTTTATTATTAATATAATTATTAGTATTCTGTTTTTATCATAATTATTATTAATTTTATTATTTATTATAATGACTACAATTATTAATATTATTTTCATAGTTTATTATTAGTAATATATCTAGTAATAATAAAATAGGAATATAAAATATAAAACAAAAACTAAGAAAAAAGTTTAAATTGTGAAAGAAAACAAAACTTAAAAAACAATAAATAAACATATTAAAAACGTCGTAGTTTTTTTTTATTATTATCCGAATCGATAATTTTAAAAAAGTACATTTTCCCCAAACTGGTATTAAAAATACTGCAAAGTTATATAAATAATATAATTTCTTTATACTATTTGAAATTATAACTATAACAACTAAATAAATAAAATATTAAAAAAATACTTATGTGGAGAATAAATGATAGTATACAAGTTGAAGTAATTTAATTTTTTTAAAGTCTATCTATTTATATAAATTATCCTATTTTCATAACTTTTAACGACTTATTTATGATGCATTTACCGTGAAACTAACAACTAGTTTATGACGCGTTTATTGTGAAAGTGAAAGGAAAAACAATAATATTTAATATATACCATAAATTGCTATGCATAAATAATTTTTTTACATTCTTCAATTATTATATTTAATATATTTTAAACATCTAAAAATAATAATAACAAAATATCTCTATAAAGAATAATGATTCTTATACACTACTTATACATTAGTTTTTTACTCGATATTATATTCATGCATGTTGATAAATCTTATATTTTTTAAGAGTAGAGAATAAGATAAATTATATATATCATGCTCTTTTAACCCATCAAGTTATCTTTTAAGGACAAACTCGTGATGAACGAGAATTTCAAAACGGATAATACCTCGTATATAAGATCTGAACCTAACAATATTATCATAACGGATATCATGTCGGAACATTCTTGTTCCTAAACAGAATATTGACAAACATAAGATTTGAACCTAATGATGTTATCACAATCAATACAAGGTCAAAACATTATTGTTCCTAGACAAAATATTGACATTCAATGTGAGACCATTCTTGTTTTACTTATTATATCTTTTAATCTTCGATCACAAAACTTTATATTCCTATACACTTATAAGTTTCATAGTTAGGAGTCAAGTTCAAATATAATTTATATATATATATATATATATATATATATATATATATATTATTTTTTTAATCTATCGAGACATCTTTTAAAAATAAAATCATAATAAATAAAATTTACAAAATAATTAATATCTCAAAAATAAGAATTCACCTATCTTATCACAATAACTATTAATTTTTTTATTATTATATTTTAGCTATTGTAATTTTTTTATATGTATATATATTTCATAAATGTCATCTTAATGTCATTTATTATTATCTAAATCTCTTCATATTTCTCTGATTTACCATCTCTCATTATAATGAATTTAGGTTGTGGGTATTATACTGTGCGCATGATACAATTCTTTTTATATTATATAAATTTAAATAAAATTAGTTATAATTTTAATTAGTCTCTTTATTATTTACTATTTCAATGGTAGAATTTCAACCTTTGCTGTTATTATGACCATGATAATGTGGTAATACAGTGTCATGTAGCATTTTTATTACATATTAAAATAGAATAAAAGAATACGATACTAAGATTAAATTTTGATGAAAATGAGATTAAACGTAAAACTACATTTAATGAATAAATAAATTTAAATAAAAAACTATTACAATTAAACTTTAAAATGCATAACTATATTTAAATATATAATTTAATTCAAGTTGTGTATTTTGGATATAAAAATATTTAATTGCAGTGATTTATTTAGTTCTCACTGTTTTAATACAATAAACTTTTGACAAGAAAAAATAAATAGAGAATGCTCTATTTTATGGTGTATGTGTTTTTACATTGTTGTGAATAATGATATCGTTTGTATCTTTATGAGTATATTTTACAATTTTGCTAAAAAGTAAACAAAAGTAGTTGTGCAATAAACAGAAAAAAATGTATATATCTATAATTATATATAAAGGAATAACTTTTGTAATTATTTTTTTGTGTTAAAAAAATAAAAAATATTATAATTTTAAGAAAAAATAATTATTATGATTTATATATTAAAAAATAATAAAAACATGAGAAAGAGAAAAAATAGATATATTTTAAAAAATAAAAAAGAAAATAAAATAAAAATTTTAAAAATAATTATAAAAAATATAGACTTAGAAGTGTTTGGTAGTAGTTGATAGAGAGAGAGAGTAAGACAAAGTTAATTTGTAGGACAATATTGATATCAATAAAAAAATAAAATAAATATTCAAAATAAAGAGAAAAGGTCAGTGACGGTACATTTTGTTTTTAATGTAAACAAATCAGCAGTCCATTAATGGTTTGGGTCTTGTTTGGGCTTATTAGTCTATTGGACATTGTTTGGGCTTTTTCTTGCCTTCTTGTAAATGAGTGGACCCAAAAACGACAAAACAACGAAATAATCTACGGACAAAGTAGATAGTGCAAGACAGCGGGATAGAGGAGAAAAGAGGAAGAAATGAGAGTGTGAAGATGGTAAAATGATCTCAAACTCCGACCCTGTAGAGCCAGTCACGGCGGCCGCGGCCACCGGCGCCGTCGTTGCAACTGCTTCTTCTTCCCCTGAAGATCAGCTTGCACCACCGGCGACACCAAACATTGTGATGTCCTCCAAGGATCACGATTCTCTCTTCAGCGGTGGCGGCATCAGGTGCTTATTTCCATTTACTATGAGCCTTTCCGATTTTTCGGAAGCTGTTCCTCTTTTTGGTTCAATTTTCTATTACTTTCGGGTTTGAATTGAGGCTATTAATTGGCAAATTCATGATCGAGGTGAACGGCTTCGCTCCGAGGGAAAGTTGTTTTCGGAAATGAAATTATCAACGCGATTATATAAGATGTGAAAGTGAATTCTTAATAGGACGGGAAAAATATGATGTTAGCATGTTTGTAAATTGCGACCGTAATTTATTGATTGTAGTGTCATTGGTTGATGTTCATGTGTTTGTATGATATGATATGCCATCGCAAATTGATAATAAGACTACTTGGGTCTCCTCTTTCTTGATATTTACGCTTCTGAAAAAAGCGAGGAGGGAAAGTGTAGTGTCTGTATGTATGTATGTTACTGTTTGGTAGAATGGACGTTATAACTTTATGTACCCTGCTTTTATGTTTATATTTACTAAAGAATTTCTCTGGGTGCCCCTTTTTTTTTTTAACCTTTAATGAATTGTAAGGCAATTTTTCATCAACTAACCACTAAGACCAACTACCTGCATCTGCTGCTACGTTTAAGCAATTTTTCTTCAAACTTAATATTTACATTTTACCGTTATAGTTAGACATGAAACTATAAAGTTGGAAAGTAGTGGTTGTTGTTATTCTTTAATACATAATTTAGACTACTATTAGTTTTTATTTCCAAAGAATATGCTCATAAAACTAAAAGTGCCTTTCAAATTTTTATCAGTTTATTTGCCTTTTCCTACCTGGAAACGTCTGTTTCTTTCCACATTAGCTGAAGAATTTAGGGAATTATGATTTTATTTTTCTCATTTTGCATACCCCTCCCCCACTCAACCCCAAAGTCCAATAGTTCCTTTTAAATATTCCAGTCATCCAATAGTTCCTTTTAAATATTCCATGACTGGGGAACCAGTCTAATTCGGAATTCATTCCATACCGATTTGACATAATTATTAGATCAAATGCATTATTAAGGTGGTCAGTCAGTCCTAACATAATCAAACCGAAAACAGATGCAAACCAGCTTTTGGTCTAAGTCTGACTTTGCAATCACATCATTTGCCTGAATCTCGACTTTCAATACAGGCTGGCAGTCTGGCTTGGCAGTCACGTCCAAGGCTGCTATGCATGTTGTAGGTTACTTGATATTTCAAAGCCTAGTTGTCTAACTCATGCACTGATGGTAGGTTCAAGTGTTGATATTTCAATCAATGAAATAAGAAATTCCATAAAGGAGTAATCAACCCTAAGACCAAAAATTCATAAATTTAAGTTCTACCACTATGCCTGGATAACTAACACATGGAAAAAATTTCTCTCTCTATATATATCTATCTATTTATATCTGTCTTTCTTTTCTTTCTCTCTCTCTCTCTCTCTCTCTCTCTCTCTCTCTATATATATATATATATATATATATATATATATTTGTGAACTTGAAGCCAAGGCAATAGTGGGTCATTTATAGACAAGGAAATGATCGACAGAGAAATAATAAAATTGAAAGTGTAGTATATCATAGTCATGATTAGGTTTTAGAATTTTGATTGTTGAACATTTACATACTGTAGTTTTTTATTACGAGATATTTGTGGCTTTTTAATGATTTATACATTTTAGTCATGTTTATATAAGATTCTATATTCTTATATATGTACATATTTTAAAATTTTATTAATGTATCCATATCCTGCATTTTTAAAAAGTCTAGTGGCCTCTAACGGTACCAAACTATTTATTCCGCGTACAATTAGCTATTTAGATTATGTACAAATGAGGAGGGTGTGTTGCTCAAATTAGAATTAAAGCGTCTATTTGCTGAAGCCAAAAGGGTAAAGGCAGTTGTTAGTGATTAGACGATGATACAAACAGTCTGTGACCATCATCTGGGCTTTATACAGACAAATAGATCCTTAGAGACGTATCATCTGTACAGATGAACCATTCATCTATGTCAATAAATATCAAAATTATGGGTCTATAACTATATTTGGTTTATTTCACAACACTTCCGCCCTATGACTTTCAAGCTAAAAATTTAAGGTTAGGAAAGGAAACAATAGTCTTACTTTCTTTGCTTATATAATGAATTATGTTGTTTAGGGAAGACCATTTAGGGAGGGGGCGGGGGAAAATATATGATTTAGTAAGTGCTTAGAAAAGATGGACTGTATATTAAGTAGTTTTGTAAATATTTAATCAATTGAATGCTATTTGATCTGTACTTGATAACAATGTTGTTTGATCAAGGTGGATATCGTGGGAAAGTGTGATAAATGACATAACTTGTTTGTTTCTTTACTGCCAATAGCAATTGTTTGACCATAATTCATTTAAAGAGAATCCCGGGGGGCTATGAAATATTGTTGAAATTTGCTTGAGGCATCCTTTTAATGTTTTTCTAATAATTGTCTTCCAACTCTCAAATATTCAAAAAAAAGATTATTTTTGTCTAGCTTTCTCTCTGGTAGTCGTAATGGAAGGTTCAGCTATGGATATTCCAGTTTCAAGGGTAAGAGGTCATCGATGGAGGATTTCTTTGAGACCAGAATATCAGAGGTTGATGGTCAGATGGTTGCCTTTTTTGGTGTATTTGATGGTAAGCCTGTTTTACATTCCTTAAAATCAGTTCTTTACCATCTCCCCCTTCCCTCTATTTTTCTGATTTGGTGTGCAACATAGCCAATTTAGAAAGAAATTATAAGATTTTGATAGTCAGTTATAGCATTTAGAATAAAAACTGATGGTTCTGTTTTCTTTTTAGAATTTATATGTCTGTTTATTGTCTCTGCTATTGGGTGTTGTTGAGATGCCTTTTATCATAGGATCAATCGCCCTAGCATAAGGCTTGTCTAAAGTGAGTTTGCCTCTATATAGAATAAGTTAGGCATAACCAACATTGGTTTAATTTAAAGTGTATCGTTATACTAATTCACCAAAATTTAGGAGTTCATTCATATACCCTTGATGACTTCAGAAGATTTTTTTTTTTTTAATCTACTGCGGGTTTATGCTGTGCTTTTACAGTTTTAAATTAATTGGACTAAGTTATGAATTTACTGAGAAAAGCACTTTGGAAACAGTTATTAGATCAGAAACTCAGAATTGACAGAGTAAGGCACTGAAAATGAGCATGGTAGATGATCTTCTGATACTAACTCTTTGAAATTATTAGACAGCAGCAGAATTAGGACATATGGGATGGTATAGGTTTTGTTTGAATGAATGAAAAGATTCTCATAATATCAATCTTAGTATATTTTAAAGGATCTTAGATTATGTCTTAGGATTCGTCTTCTTATTTCTCACTTACGATTTTTTTCTCCTTGTCTTGTAAGGATTATAATCTAGTGTATTGTAAATAAGCTTTAATGCTTTATGTATTATCACCACGTTTGAATGCACCATATTGCATCAAGTCAATGTCAATAACTGAGTATTTGTCCTCTATTATCTTGTTTTCCTTCCTCTATATATACCTAAAACCCTAAAATTTCAACTTAATATCACAGTGGTACCTTCTCTGTTGTCTTTTTTGTTATAGCTCTGCTGCAAGATTCCAAAATCTGGAGCTCCGCTTTGTTTTTGATGTTTCTCTCTACTCAAATTAGCTTTGTCCTTTGTTATGATGTCATTTCCAGCCACACTTCTGCCTATTAGCACGGCCAGTTGTGGTTGTTTACTGTTAGTTGGCTACTTTTATCCAACCAGTGACGCATGGATGGATTTGAATTGCCTCCTAAAGCCTAGCAAAACCTCAATAGTCCCAGTCAAACAGCCACTAGATGTGCCCGCACATGTGCCTCCATGGTCAATGTCTCAAATTTTCTGGCAAACATATCTCTTCTGCGTGCAACACTGTTTCCAGTCTCCATCTGCACTAGACTCATCCTGCCCTTTGCTACTTGGATCTGCATTTGGTTTCTTGATCCGTCCTTGTTTTCTTTTGTTAACCCCTCTATACAGCTCGTTTTCTCCACTGTCCATCCCGTTTTGTTACCTATGGTTGATTTTGACCCTCTGAAGGCTGAGCCGACAATGTCATGCTCTCTGTCACTTCTCACCAACTCCTCCCTGTTCTGTTTTGACCTCTTCTCTCCTTTGAAGGATCCTCTTATTGTTTGACTCCTGTCCCAGTTTCTGTTTGTTGTACTCCTCTTGTTTGGTGGCTGCACTTGGCTTCTTGATTGTTCTTGCACGAACCTTGGATTTTAGAGCTCTTTTGTTTTGTTCAACAGCTGTGTCTCTGTTATCATTTGCTCTAGTTTGACTTTGATTTGTCTACAAGAGTGGTTTCTCTACTTTGGTTCTCGAATTGTTGTCTTTCAACTGTCTCGGCACACTCTGACCCTGCTAGTCTTCACTCCTAGGTGCTCTGGCCCTGTAGATATTCTGTCCTAAGATGATGATTCTTGACCCAACATCAAATATGGATAGGGTCAAAGTAGAGCTTATAAAGACTTGGCAATTGACACTTCTTGAGTTTGGATTGAGTAAGGCACAGCTCAAATTAGAAGTGACCATTCCAACCATGGTTAGTGGAGGTGATATTATTTTTTAAAATGGATTTATTTGTAGTAAACCTTAGTCACATGTTTTTTATGAGTAGCTTAGTCACTTTTAAACAATGGTTTCTAGTTTCTACTTTTTATATTTCCTCTTATGCTCTGTTTCCTTATTCAGGTAGGATTATAATCTAGTATTAGTATAAAGAAGGGTTAATACTTTACTTTTTTTTATGATCCTTATTCAATATTAATTTCTAATATTAATAAAGATTATTTATTTATATTAATTGATCAGATATATTAAAAACAAGGAATAAAATCAAAGAGTAGTGTTAATTTGTTTCTTTCTATTCTTTTAGGTCATGGAGGTTCCCGGACTGCAGAATATTTGAAAAATAATCTTTTTAACAATTTGAGTAGCCATCCTGAATTTATCAGAGACACAAAGACTGCTATAGGTATGAACTTCATTGTTGTAAAATTATAGGATATGTTGAAATTTTCTTATCATATGACAGTTGTTTAATTTGCACCTGGATGGTGTAAATATTAACTTGTTTTCTGTCTATTTGTTTCATTGCAGTGGAAGCGTTTAAACAGACAGATGTTGACTACCTCAATGAGGAAAAGGGGCATCAAAGAGATGCTGGGTCCACTGCATCAACAGCAATGTTGTTGGGGGACCGAATTGTTGTTGCAAATGTTGGTGATTCCAGAGTCGTCGCAAGCAGAGCTGGTTCAGGTTGATGCCATGCCAGTTATGTTTTGTGAGAATTAGGTTGACATTGGGTAGAATCTGCATGTTTTTAATTGGTGATGAATGGAGGCAATATGCAGCATGTTTCCTTTCACTGTAGGGCATTGTCCAAACATTGGTTTTGGGTCACTTCAGTTTTACTAACTTTCAAGTGTTATCATTTTCTGTGAATTTTCTTTGCAAATTGCTTACACTAGTTGCATAGGCCAAATAGGCTCAAGAAGCAATATTAATTCCTATTCCTGTTCTTTTGGTTTTTCCTTTTTTTAACTAATGATTGTTTGCGTTAATGTAGCTATTCCTTTGTCCATCGATCACAAACCTGATAGATCTGATGAACGTCAAAGGATTGAAAAGGCTGGGGGATTCATAATTTGGGCTGGTAAATTTCTTCTTGTAGGGTTGTATGTCATTTCGTGTGTGGGGGGGAATTGTTAATAAATAAATAAACAGCTTGGTCTGCTGGTTGGTGTTCCAGGAACATGGAGGGTTGGTGGTGTTCTTGCTGTTTCCCGTGCATTTGGAGACAAACTTCTTAAGCCTTACGTTGTTGCTGACCCAGAAATTCAGGTTAGCTAAATCATAAGCAGATAAAACTTGATCAACTATTTGGTATATATCTGTATCGTTATATTTCTTATGCCTGCTAATTTTCTTTTGGTTCTGTTATGCGTAGGAGGAAGAAATTGACGGTGTGGATTTTATTATAATTGCTAGTGATGGCCTTTGGAATGTCATATCAAACAAGGTGAGACTATCTTACTTGTTGAAGTTGGTCCTAAACAGGATAGATTTATTTTTTCATTTTTGTGATTGATCGTGCGTACATGCCTTTTCAGGAGGCCGTGTCTTTAGTACAAAATATCACAGATGCAGAGGTGGCATCCAGAGAACTTATAAAAGAAGCTTATGCACGAGGAAGCTCAGATAACATCACTTGTGTTGTTGTTCGATTTGATCTATCCTGATGTGGTTACGTGCGTATTATGCTTTAGGTATCTGTTTTTTCTAACACCTGAAATTCTGAGCGTAGAAATCACAAATGGGTGTGAAGGTGTAGTAGTACCTTATTTTTTCATCATCATGTTGCCATTGCCTTATTTATTCTACTCTTCATTTGATTTTGCCCGTGCATGGAGGTTAAATCTACCTAGGATCCAGCAAATTAATTTGACCATTTGAGCAACGAAGGGATTTATTGGTTTGAAAATATGTTTTTTTTTTTTTTTTTTTCATTATCTGTTTCTTGTTTTTAAACGTTTGTAAAAGGCAAATGGCTAAAATATGTTTATCAAACAGAACAAAAGTAAAATCGTAGTAATTTTATACAAATTTTTGAAACAGAAAATAAACTGAAAATGAAGTGATATTTTTGTAATAAAAAAGAAAATTAAAATATAAATTATGTTTTCATATCAAACAGGCCCTTTGTATTTTTCATGATCCCCTTCTGATTTAAATGATCTTTTATTTGTTTCGGAATGTTCTTCAGTCTTAAACCCCCAACGATGACATTTTGACCCACTCCACTTACGGGTAGATTGATGAGTTTGTCCGAAATAGGAATGATAATAAAATTGTTTATGTAGTTTATTTTATTTATTTATAATTTTTGTTTAAAAAGATAAATATTTCAACGGATTTTAAATTTTATTTTTTATTAGTATCAGATAAATTAACAATAATAATAATATATATTTTTTATGTTTTAAAGGATGATTAAGTGTTGCAAAATATATAATAAAAACTTTAAATTGAAGGGCGGATTCCCTTGTTAAAACATCTAGTTGGACCTGTAGGAACTAACTGGCTAATCCAGCGGAAGCTTGGTAATATTGAAGTCCAATGTTTTGTTTCACAAAAAATAAAAAGTTGGAAAGTGATATATGAGAAATAAAACGAAAATTAAAAATAGGAAAAAATAAATATTTTTATAAATATGTAAAATATTATTAAGTAATTTTCATCATTTTAAAATTATATTTTCTTTCAAACAATCAATCCTTATTCCACTATTATGTTTACAAGAGCAAGATGGTTTATTTTTATAATAATTATTTTAGAAGCTACATAAACCATCATTTGTAATTAGTTAATAATAGTTAGCTATATTCACTATGTGTAAATATTAAATTCTAATGATATTATTTAATTTGTTTCCGTAAATTTTCATCTATATTTATTAGTTTTTTTTCGATAATTTTATTTGCTAGTTAGATAAGAAAAAATAAACAATTTAAAATATATTATTCTGTCATTCCAATATATATCATTACATAAATTTATTATAATTATTTTTATATTATCTGTATTTTGATTGAAGAATAATATAAAGTTATTATAAGTGTACGAACTTACGATTAAGTAAATATTCACTTTATAAAAGAAAAAGTAAAAATAATCTGCGAGCATAATTCTTACAGAATCAAACGCTTACGAAAATATTTGTCTGTACTACGTGTTTCAAGCATCTTTCCTTTTCTATTTGAAGTGACGGGAATCGCGTCAACCACAAACCCTAATTAAACATGTCAAATTATTTTCTCCCAAAAAAAGGAAGAAAATTAGTCCAAGTTAGGTCATGATTCATGATGCCTGCTTGAGTTGAACAAAAGTCTTATAATTATCACAAACAACTATTTACATTTACATTTACATTCAAAAGACATGAATTGATACAAGAAATTCTAAATGATTATCAATTTGTTTTGTCAGAAAAAAAAGGGTCAGGACGAAAAAAAGGAAACAATAGATTTTTTCCCTGAATAAGTAACTTTATCTAAATCTTGATTTGGATAAAAAAAGTTTACAGTAAAATTTATATTAACTTACTTTTAATTTTTAAAAATAAAAAATTTCAATATAAATCACTTTACTAATCAAATTTGCAAACCTCGTCCAATTTTATTTAGATTTTATCCTAGAAATATAATTTTATTGAAAGAACATATAAAAATAAAATGATTTAAGTAAGGCTTATGTTTGATAATATTGCTTGATGAATATATTACCTGCAATTAAAAAAATTATTATTTTTAAACAATAAATACAATTTATAATATGGTAAGTTAATAAATATAAAGGTGGATTGAGGAATTTATTCTTAATTTTAATTTTTAATCTAATAATTTAATATAATAATTTATCTTAATTATTTTATTAAAAAAAAGTTAGAATAATAAGTCTACAAATATGAATCATTCTCATAAATATATCTAATTTTATAAAAATAAATTTTCCTTATTGATAAATTTATACTAAATTCAAAATATAAAAATCTTAATTAATGCATCTAAAACTAAATATATATTATTGCTGTTATATAAAGTAAGTGAGTTAAAATGTTATAAAGAAATATAAATTCCTCTTGTGGTTATTGGTATTAATACATTGATAGATTTTATTTTAATAAGGCATTGTTTAACTTTTATGAAATATTAATCTTTATTAAATATTATGAATTTGTGTGTTTTTTATTAATAAATAATGTCAAAATTGAGAATTAATAATAAGAAAAAATGTAATATGTTGATAATATTATTTGAAAAAAATAAAAATCATTTAAATAAACATTTCTAATTAACACATGCAATTTTATTAGAAAAGTCTTCTGGTAAAACAAAAAAAAGTTAAAGTAAAGACAAGAAGAAGAAAAATCCAAAATGTATCCCTTCATTTGGTGTGTTTCGCTGAACTTTCCTCTTTCTTTGTGTGCTTCTCCACCTTCCTTCCGACCATCTTCCTTCCCTTTCCAATTCTCCATCTCTCTTAATCTCAAAAATCCAAACCCAACTCTTCCTCTTACACTCTCCACTTCCACTCTGCTCCTTCTTCCACCATCTCCATGGCCTCTCACTCTAACCAATCAGGTTCTCCCTTTCTCTCTATATTTCTCTACTCTTCTAAATTTTTCATTTTTCGTTGACCCTTTTGCGTGTATCAGGAACAGGAGCTGACGGGCAAGTAGAAAAGGACCCCCCACCGGCGATCCCAACAACAGCTTCTCAGAACCCACTTTCTGAGATATCGCCGTCGCCGTCGCCGTCATCCTCGACGGCGCCGGCGCTGGTGCTTTCGAACTCGGGGAAGCGCATCGATCAGACGGGAAAGAAGAAGTACGTGAAGCAGGTGACGGGAAGGCACAACGACACGGAGCTGCACCTGGCGGCACAGAGAGGCGACGTCAGCGCGGTGAGGCAGATCCTTTTGGATGTCGATTCTCAGATTATGGGAACTCTCGGCGACGATGACGACGTTGATCTCGACGCCGAGATTGCGGAGGTGCGCGCTTGCCTCGTCAACGAAGAGAACGAGCTTGGTGAGACCCCTTTGTTCACTGCCGCTGAAAAGGGTCATCTCCATGTCGTGAAGGAACTTCTCAACCATTCTACCGCTCAGACCGTTTCCAAGAAGAACCGATCAGGTTTTGATCCCTTGCATATTGCAGCCAGTCAAGGCCACCACCGTATGTAGCACCTCTCTTTCTATTCTCTTCTTTATTGTACTTGTGTTGCTTTAGTAAGTTAGTTATATTAGTAGTTGTGTTATGAACTTATGATATGAGCATATTTTATGCTGCTTGAGGTTTAGGAAAGAGATTATAACTCCTGTAAAGTGAGCAACTGATCCTAGAAAGTGAAGTAACTGATCTAAGTCATTGAACAAACATTTCGGGGACCCTTTTTCTCTAGTTTAAGAGACTTCTTTGTCAGGGGTGGTGAATCAGGCGAGTTTATTGCTGCCTCAAGGTTTTTGGCAGATTTTGGGGCATATTAACGCTTGATTGAATGTTTTATTATTCAGTTGGTTTGGTGACGTAGGCTTGGTCAGCCTTATTTTGAGTGTAGGACTCACTGAGTCTTGACCTATGAAGTTGCGAGTGTCCTCGTGCGTCAAGTAACTTTCACATAGGACTGATCGAGTCATGACCATAGCCATTGATTAGAAATTTAGCAGTTGGTATTTAAAGTACACGTATAGCAAATTACAAATGTGTTGTTGGGTTCTGATTTCTAGACCTTAATAGCTTTTGGGTAGTTCATTGTGATGAGTGGCTTCAATTTCTTGGTGTGTGATGTGATGTGATGAGATGCTCCTATGTGTTGCTGTAATTTAATGTGTCTGTTTGGTGTCCTGTTCTTCCATGTGATTCATGGTGGATTTTGGTTTGCAGCCATTGTGCAGGTTTTACTAGATTATGACCCGGGCTTGAGCAAAACTATTGGTCCATCCAACTCGACACCACTAATAACCGCCGCAACAAGAGGACACACGGAAGTGGTGAATGAGCTGCTGTCGAAGGATTGTAGCTTGTTGGAGATTGCTAGATCGAATGGCAAAAATGCATTGCATTTAGCGGCTCGTCAGGGTCATGTGGAGATTGTGAAAGCCTTGCTCAGTAAAGATCCACAGTTGGCTCGGAGAACTGACAAGAAAGGGCAAACTGCATTGCATATGGCTGTAAAAGGGCAGAGTTGTGATGTGGTAAAATTACTTCTTGATGCGGATGCTGCTATTGTTATGCTTCCTGACAAATTTGGTAACACAGCATTACATGTGGCAACCAGGAAAAAGCGCGTAGAGGTATGTTAACAGTTGCACAGCATTACAAGCACCATATGCGTATAGATGATGCCATATAAATCAAATATTTGAACTGATGGGGCTCTCACCAAATGGTTAAATATGTTTTATCCCCACCCCAATAGTAGGACATCCACGTCTTATGTTGTTGTACCCAAGGACTAATAATAACGTTACAGTTTTGTGACAATCAGTCCTTAATACTGACTTTCACCATCTAAAGGTGGTAAGATTTTATTAAAAGAGAAAACATTTATTAAACGTTTATTTTTTATGTAATGTAATAATGCTTTATTTCCTAATTATAACTTACCACTTTAAGATACTTTAAATTAGTCCTATGGGCCAATGTTAACGTTTTCCATGATACTATAAAATGCAACTAAACATGGTATGGATTAACTTACATTTGTCCGGAAGTTTTGGACCTTTTTCTTTTTGAATTTTTCTTAATATAAACATGCTGACCCGCTATATTATTTTTAAGCATCCATCATAGTTCCCTCAAATGAAAATATAATACTGTGATTTCTCAACTTCCTGTACAGATAGTGAATGAGTTATTACATCTGCCAGACACCAATGTTAATGCGTTAACCAGAGACCACAAAACAGCTCTTGACATTGCTGAAAATCTTCCACTCTCTGAAGAGGCATCAGATATAAAAGAATGTCTTTCTCGATATGGGGCACTTAGAGCTAACGAGCTCAACCAACCAAGGGATGAACTGAGGAAAACTGTTACTCAAATCAAGAAAGATGTTCACACTCAACTTGAACAAACCAAGAGAACCAACAAAAATGTTCATAATATTTCGAAAGAGCTAAGGAAACTACACAGGGAAGGAATCAACAATGCCACAAACTCAGTAACAGTGGTGGCTGTGTTGTTTGCTACAGTTGCATTTGCTGCTATATTCACTGTGCCTGGTGGTGATAACGATGATGGCTCAGCAGTGGTAGCAGCTTATGCTGCTTTTAAAATCTTCTTCGTCTTTAATGCTATTGCACTTTTTACATCTTTGGCTGTTGTGGTTGTTCAAATTACCTTAGTTAGAGGTGAAACTAAAGCAGAGAAAAGGGTGGTAGAGGTGATCAACAAGCTTATGTGGCTGGCTTCTGTCTGTACTTCAGTGGCATTTATTGCTTCTTCTTACATAGTTGTGGGTAGGAAGAATAGGTGGGCTGCAGTTCTGGTTACAGTAGTTGGAGGGGTGATAATATCTGGAGTTATTGGCACTATGACTTTCTATGTAGTGAGGTCTAAGAGAAGCAGGTCAATGAGGAAGAAGGAGAAGCAGCTAGCCAGGAGGAGTGGATCTAACTCATGGCATCATTCTGAATTCTCCAACTCCGAGGTTGATCGGATTTATGCGATTTGATTTTGAACTAGCAACCTTCAGGGGATCATGAAGAACAAATTGTTGCAAAAGTGATGACAGGTGTTTTTAAGAGCTCACTGTACAGGAAATTGTTCTTTCAGGATTAGCTGCAGCTTATTCTGGGCAGCTTTTGTAGGATCTTGACAAATTGGAATGAATTGTAACTGTTAAATGGTGCACTGCTGGGCCTAAGTAAGCACCTGTATCTTAATCCTAGGTTGTGATTTGGTAGGAAAATAAATTGAATATTGCTTTAATTATCAATTTATGTATTCTTGTATAATCAAAATATGCCTGAGTTTTTTTGTTAGAATTTTCATGGGGTCTAATCATCTCTATATGACCCTTGATACTTGCATCATGGTGAGTGCTCATAGAAAAAGAAATAGTATATTTGAAAGTGTAATTTTTTATTTTTTGATAAATTTGTGAGGTGAAAACTAAGGTTTGTGCAGATAAGGGTAAGATTGGATTTTCAGTGAAGAATTTATTTGAGTTCTCTGATGGATCTTCAGCTTTGAAAATTGTGGTGTCAACTCTAATTAATGCATACCATAACTATCCTTTTCGAGTAGCTTGTAGCAGCCAACTTTGAATGGTAAACTCAAAAGATATCAAGATGGCCGTTGTTTTCAATACTATAATAATATAAAATAAAATATATAAAATACATAAACACATCAAAAGTAAAGAAATTTATTATAAATAATTATTCAGTTTGCACATACAATCCTCTACCAACTTAAAAATAAGAACACAATAATGAAGTAAAAATGAAAAAATGATGGTGCAGCTAATGGAAAACAAAGACAACAAATCAATGGAACACAGAATGAAGCATAAATATTTTCAACTCGTGTAGTTATTAAAGTCGAACAAATCTTATATTTTAATCCCTATATTTGAGAATTATCTGGTTTTTATACATATGAATTTGAATGGTAAACTCAAGAGATTAAAATAATTCATACACAAAAATTAACATAATATAAATAAAGATAAAACTAGATAATTTTCAAGTATTGTAGCACAGTACAGACTAAATGAATATTAAATGTATGTTACTTATTTTAAAGGGTGAAAGAAAGAAAAGTTAAAACCGAAGTGTAAGGAAAATGGTTTCAAATCCTATGTTGTTCTTAAGCAAAAAATTAATTAAATCTTATAAACATAGTTAGGTTGAGATATGTGATTAGTTCAATGGACACTTTTGGTCGTGAGCAGCCATGCATAATTTTTTCTGGTTATAATAGTACATGAAAACATTGAAAACCTAATATTTGAAAGCTACTAGGAAAACCATGGCTGCTATTGAAAACTGAAAAACACTGACTACACAATACTGCATGGTTAACTAAATGGAAGGGACGTGTCAGTACAATAGTTAGATTAGATTTCATCATGGTAATACCATCCTTGCATGGAGGAAGTTTTACAGCAGCAAGTTCTTTTTGTGGTTACCTCAATTCCCTGGAGTGCAGTATTTGAATGGATAGATATAGAAAAAGAAGCACATGGCCAATTGGATGGTTGTAACATGAGAAGGGGATTATTATAGAGTTGGTGCTGGCTTTATCAGGTTGCTCCTTTATGCTTATCTCACTGTTAGTTGGTGATCACAAACCTCAAGTGAAGCAAAAATGATAATAATCACTTTGTCGCCTTTGAAATCCCGAGACAGAACAGGAACATTGAATGTTAAAAGTAGTCTGAATGATTTGTTATTTATTTTTGAAGAGGAGTTCGAAGCGTGCATTTAACAACATTAAAACCACCATTTGAAGAATATGCACATGCAAAACCAGACAAGGATGACAGCAAAATGAAAATTATGTATTGAAATCTACTTAAGGGAGTGAGTTTTCTCTAGAGAATGCTATATTACTCTATATATACAAACTTTAGTATCCAATTCTGAATCGCATACCTCAGAGACTGTGCTTATCTATCAATTATATTACACTTTGTTGTTGTGATAACTTGTGCTTAGAATATGACGTGTTGACAAAAACAAAAGTCTCTTTAAAATAGGGTAAATTATGAGGACCCTACTTGAGGAGAAAATCAAAGTCGAAAGCAGTTGTCATATTAAAATTCAAAATAATAGAGGTCCTTGTCATGTGCATATTATATATAAAATATTGCTATCTTTGCCCACAAAGGTATCAAACATCTGATAAGTTAAAGAAATCAGAATAGAACCACCTGAAAAGCTGTTTGTCACCTTGTCTGCACTGAAGGATTTCTTTATACTTCCAACTGTGAATATTTTAACATATTCTTTTACGTATGAAGATGACTTCCTCATAACTCTTCTTTTTCTTTTCCTTCTCAGTTGCTCTGACAAGCTTTTTGCCATATTACAGAATATGCTTACTTTAATGGTCAAGAAATTTTCTTCATAGAGGAATTAAAGACCAATGAATGTCTTACAGTAGTTGCCAAGGGACGAAGACATGTGGGCTTCTACAATCATGATGATTGTTACCCTCTTGATCTTTGATAACAGTATTTAGAAGGGACCTAAAAAAATGAATTTTAATTTTAAAAGACATTTATTTATTATAAAAAATTGGTGTATGGCAATGACATTTATTTATTCATCAAAGAAATCTCATGGAATTAATGGCATACTTGATGATCAAACTAGTCAGATAAGCAACTACAATTTATGGTCAGATGACATGAAGAGATTGGTGTTCTTTATTTCTTGCCATCATTTGAACACAACTGAAATTAGTAGTATTCTTTGACACTGAGAGCCTGGGATTGCATTAGTACATACTCTAACTTTCGCATTTGTTTTCTAAGTTCAACTTTTCTGTTCAGAAGATTTTGCAACGTGCCTGTTCTCAATTTAATAGTTTTACATATTATTATGCTTTCCACTTCAACAATTGGGTTCTGATGTCCACATTACTCTTACACTCATTATGTTTGTACTGTGCCTGCACTAATCATTTCTTCCTCATGATTGATAAAAGGAATCATACAAAACAGAATCAAATTATTAGTATCAAGTATCGGACATTTATAGTGCGTGTTGCAATGTCACCATTCTAGTTGACAGCATTTACAAGCAATGAGATTTCTATAGAAGATATACTTTTAATCTACTCTACTCTTCTCTTCACTGTTCCTTATATTCTAAGATTCATAGGTAAATGCTTGATGTATGCATATCGATGCCTATCATAGTACAATAATTAATTGCTACAGTTGATTTAGAAGCTGGAGAAAGACCAAATCAGTTTTTCAGTTGACAGAGTTCAAATTTCAAGAAATCATTAATAATATTTTGTCGATGTTTTGCTTGTTTTAATCACAAATCGATTCTTGAAAATATTGGGGGGAAGGTTTTGCTTGGAAGTGGATAGTACAGTGTTCTCATTTTATTTGCAGAAGAATTTCATTTTGTTCTCATCATAATATGGTTAAGGACCAAAAGCAACTAGCTTGGTAGATAAGGTCTAAATATCCATGACAACCATGAGTGTTTGTAAAATTAGTACTGGTGAATGAAGCTAACTTTCACCGAAGTTACTTTTGAATTGGAAAGACAATGTATGATGAATACAAAATAAGCAAAGCTACTTTTCAATTCCCTATCAGCCCCTCCAAAGCTCTACCCTCTCATGATCCTCACAAACTGAGGTTCTAGTCGCAGATATTGAGTAGAGTCCTACTTCGCTTGCAGTCTTCTTTGAAGAGAGCACTTGCTGAGACTTCTTGCAGTGTGCAATTGCTCCCTGGATTGAATTTTCTATCTCTGAATTTGCACTGCTGCACCTTTTCAGTAGCTGGCGCGCTTGGGAACCATATGATTTGTTTGAAAATGAAAATGAAGTTGAGCCAGACAGTGATGAAGATGATGATGACTTGTTCCCTGAAAGCATTTTAATACCGACCGAGAATGACCTTCTGTGCTGGTTACTGCCATCCTCACTTGTCTTTTCTTTGTAGCTTCTCATGACAGAATTCGAGGACTGGTATCTGTCCCTATGAATTTGGCCATATGGGTTTTTCTTTGCCACTTGCACATGCTTATTTAAAATCTCCCTGGCTTTTGAAACCGATCCTTCATCTGCAACTTTGGTTGAGGTTGCATAGGTTTCATATGAGCAGCCTGATTTTCCAAACCAAGATTTGAGATAAGCCCTTGAAGCCTTCAACTTTGAACCTAGTGAAGACTGCTTCAGTTTCTTTGTCCATGACTTCTTCTGGTTTTCAACAACAAATCCAGCACTTGTATCTGTTGGGTAGGCAAGGTTGTAATACTCTTCAGGGTTTAGTTCTCTACTAACTTGGCAAGAATCAGATGGAGAGATGTTGCAGGATTCAAATGGGGTGCCTGCAATTGGTGTTGTGTAGGTAGTGGCTAGAGGAGTGCTAAAGAACTCCTCAAAGATATCATTTTCTTTGTCAAAAGGAGAGGTGGATTTTTCAAGGAGTTTTTCGACCATTTGTAACCGAGGGGGGAGGTGAAGAGGGAGGAGCTTTCCTTTGTAGAAAAGCTCATCAGCTGGGGAGGTTGTTGGCTCTGTCTCTTGAACAATGGAGGACATTTGGAACTCAAATTCTCTAGGCTGTGGATGAGATTGAGAATGGCAGAAGAAGTTGGAGTATGAGTTGACTTCCATGTCAATGTAATCGTCATCTGCAGGGTCACATGCTAAGAATGTTGTAGCCATTTCAGCCTCTCAGCTTCACAACTCGTGTATTTTGGACTTCTTCCTCTGAGGGCATAGCAGCTAATGGTAGCTGAGCTTTTATTATGGAAAAATGAAGAGTAGGACTAGTACTGCTTTTGAAAGTGCATAAAATGATATATTTAAAAAGCAGTATCCTGGAATTAGTGGTATTCTAATCTTGTTGCCTTTTATTTATTGTTTTCATGTCTTGTCATTATTGAAGGAGGTTGTCTGCAAGCATCAAATGTAAAATTAAAACCTGACTGATTTTCTTACGAGGAGAAGCACTGACCCACCCAACATAAACATTGTGGCTTATTTCTATTTGGGATTGCTACTTTTATATTTGTTTTGCTGTTAATGGTAACTAGCATGACATGATTTCGATTATTTTGTTTCGTCAAGAAATTAATAATGCAGAGAAATTGACCAAAAACTGCACCATGTCTCACTATGGCTCAGGCAGTCAGGTTAGTTACTTGCATAGTGCAGTTGGCATGATGAAGTCTTGCACAATGGGAAGCTAGAATCAAGATATTACATGATCATTGTAGCCATTGATTTGCTTACTTTCTAACAAGATGGAATGGGTGGTCGAACCTTTAATCAAAACAACCATCTTAATTAAAAAACCAGTGAACCTCAACGTTATCTTCTTTTCTTTGTTGTTCTTTCAATCAAGACTTGACTAGGCAATTGTTTAGAAATTGGGGACTAAAACCGGAAGAAGAGTACAACACAGGAATCTCCTGGCAGTAACTACAGTATTTGTCCTTGAGTCTGATATTGTGACTGTGTCATTTATGGGTACTTTTGTCTCCGGGGAAAACTAGTCTATGAATGTTAGAGTCTTTTTTGGAACCTTGTATGACACTAACAATTTCCCATGCAAGCAAATTGGATTTCTGAACAAGATATGTCTCACGGCATGCACTTTGGCATTCATGTTAGTACTTAACTACTTATCATTGTGCTGTGCACCTAAATGAACATGATTAGGAAAGGGGAATACGTGGTGCACTTGATTAAGTAACAGTTGAGTTCATCAACAACTCCCACAGCTTACATTCCTGCCTTTGTTTTAACGCACTTTAGTGTATAATTGCACACGGGAAAAGCCCTGCCAAACCTTTTGGTGTACACGGATGCAAAACATGGGCATCTTTTTCATTAATTTCAAATTATTCCTGTCTTCTTTAACTAAAACCACTTTAATGTTTGTTAATTTCACTTTGAAAAATGAAGTTCTATTGCAACTGAATAAAGTATTATAGTAAATGCACACAATGAACAAAAATGACTAGAGAAAGAAGCAACACATGACCCGACAAGGAATGGTGGGAGAACAGACTGAGGCCGGAATGCCTGCAAAGCTCGAGAGATTGTTTGTCATCATCTTTTAACACACTCCTACCTAATTTTGAGTTTACCATCCCTTTCCCTTTTCCATTTTTTTAGTCGCAAACAAAACAATAAGCTCCTAACTTTTCCTCTTTTTTCCCCCCAATGTGCAATTTCTTTGAGATTATTATTTGCAAACACGCTCAAAAAATACCACCAAATGGTTGGTTCTTTCTGTCGATGCAGGACCTATGCTAATGGCCACCTTACTTTCATACCCAATTTGTCCCCAAGTTAGGTTGTCAAGCATTTTCTTTTTTTTTTTTTTTTTTTCTGAAACCTACTTATGGATTATAATATACTGTCAACATTGATTAAACTGCTTTCGTATCAGGAAAATAAAAAAAAAAAACACTTCGGTGTTTTTGTTATTGGAGGGGATCAGATTAAACCAGTAAGCTTCATTGTTACTTACTATAAACCATCCATTTCAAGACTAATAATACACTTGGTGCATTTATTCCACATGGATAGATTCATGCATCCTTTTTATAAATCACATTAACAAGATTGAATAGCTACAGAATATATGTTCTATCCCTTTGCATGTCATGTAAAGGTCTTTGGAGCTCTTTGAACATAAGGTACATTCGAATGAAGGTTTATTTGAATACATTAAAAAAAAACAGAAAGAAAGAAAAAGATAAAAATTTAAACTTTTTTTAATTGTTTTGAAGAAAAATGGAAACAAAATAAACTTTTTGGTGTGTATCACAAAGCAAAGAAAAAATACACTAGGAGGAACACTTTTTTATTTTATTATTTTACTATTATGAATATTTTATAATGAAAAATTCTAATAAAAAAATTACTCTCTTCACTTATAAACAAGTGAGAGCAAATTAGTATATTTTTTTCTATCTAAAAACTCATTTTCTCAACTATATTCTCATTTACTTTTATTCTTATGTCTTTCCTAAGTGTAGAAAGTTCGAAGAAAAATGCTACCACACTTTTTTTAACACTGCTGTTAACAAAAAATTGTATAGAAAATAAAAATTACATATCTAACTCATAAATTTGTAATTTTCAACTAATAAGAGAATGTGGGTTGCTAACAGTCATCATATTAGAAAAACAAAAAGAGGAGAGCCTCCTAATAAGTGAAAATAGGATGACGCTATAGCTCCGACATTCGGTTTTACGGTTCTATTCATAACCATACTGATAGTTTCAAATCAATTTATGACTGGTCTGCATGTTACATACTTGTTAATTTACAGAAGAATTAAGAAATTATGCTCTAATGTTTACAAATTCAAATATATTCTGATTCAAACTGAAGCTTCATTAACAGCCGACCCATGCTTACAAACTTATGATACTTGCACTTGCCTCCTTATAAAAATACAACAGCAAGCATTAATTTACTCAAACAAGATTGACTTAACTAGAAGCCAATTCTTTTTCAAGCTCATCAAATTCCCAATCACCAATTTCCTCAGTTGAATAATCTTGACTAACATTCCCAAACTCAGATTCCAGCTTAGCTAATTCAGCTTCATGGTCTAATACCTGGTCTGCCTTAACCGAGAATAATTCTGGCTGTTCATCCGTCTCTGGCTTTGAAAGCTGGGCACCATGAGCTGGTGCAGAAGGTGAAGCAGTACCGTCGAACTTTTTCTCAGAAGGTGGAGGTTCAACCTTTGCAGGGCTCTCTATTTCAAGAATTGGTCTCTCAATAGACTCAAATTTAGTTCGTAATTTTTCAATGGCATCAAACAGCTCTTTAACTCTCTCTTCATCGTTCCTGGATTGATGATCCCAATAAGAAAAGGCAAATGGAAATAATTTAGTATAAGGTGTCTGACGCAACGATAATCTTCCATAAAAGTAAACCGATTTTATTACAAAATATTGCATTTAAATAAATGATAAAACGTTCTTCACAATAAGAGAACAAAATGGTGTGTAACAGGTGATTTAGGGTCAAAACCAGTTAGAAAAATTCCAATTTTCGGCTGGATTCACCCATTACAATTATTTTGAACTTGTATCAACCAACTGTCCAAGTTAATCAAGCAGCCCAATAAAACTATGTAGAAAGAAAATACAAAACCTGGAAATTTTCCCATACTGCGCGTAAAATTGCTGCTTCATGTTATCCACTACACTGAAGGTGGTAATAATCTGAAACAACGAAAAAAAACCAACAAGTCCTAGCAAATCATAGCACTACCCCATTGCTTTGGTCATGGACAAAGGATACAGCATGCAACATATATTAAAATTGCTGCTTCATGTTATCCACTACACTGAAGGTGGTAATAATCTGAAACAACGAAAAAAAACCAACAAGTCCTAGCAAATCATAGCACTACCCCATTGCTTTGGTCATGGACAAAGGATACAGCATGCAACATATATTGGGAGGTCAAACTTATTCAAGTAGACAGCAAGGACTAGCAGCAGCCAACAACATTGATAGTCTTATCCTATTAGTTTAATTCAATTGGAATTGGATGCCATGTAGTTCACTGTAAAACTGCGGGGGGTGCAGCTCCAGATCTCACCATTATAATGTTTAAGCTGTTTTACAAAAAAAATAATTGCAAATACAGTTTTAAAACAGGTGGGCCATTGGATACAACTGGACAAGTTGCACTTTTTTTTAAACTGCAGAAGATCTGCATTTCGAAGTTAGTTACATGGACCACATGTTGCCATTAGGCGAAAAATAAAATTCAACACTTGCATAATCCAAAAAGGTATTACCCAAAAAATAGACAAGCAAACTCCTAGATGAACAAGCCAGTGATTTCAAACTATTCTATATTGCACATATATATATATATACCTTGGCTTCGTAGGTCAAATATTCCTCCTCAAGATTTCTCCTTGGATTTAATACGTCTGAATCCTCAGTCTCTGCACTGGATGTCATCTCTAACCTATATTCTCAATAAATTGGAGTAGATAAACAAATGACCATGTATATATATATATATATATATATATATATATATAGGGAATTTTTGTGTCAAAACATTGTACTCTCAAAGAAAATTAAAACAAACAATCGCCCCTGAAAAGGTATTACCTCTGATTTAAATTCTTGAGGTTCAAGACAAATGTGCCAATATGGTTAATACAAGGCTCTAACTCTTTCTGCACACAACATAGTAGGGTCATACTACCGACGGGAAAACCCGGATGGAAGCAAAAAGGAATCTGTCATTATACATCCATTATTTAAATCAGCAAGGGTATTAAGTACCTGGTATGCAGTAAGAAGTTGAATAGCCAAGTTCACGAAGTAGTCCTCATGTCTCTCCAATTCATCACTTTAAAAATAAGTATTAGTAACAATTCTAATTCGTGAAAAATAAAGAACAAAGCAAAATAAGTATAATTTTTAGATTTCTTGTTGAAGGATATAATCAATCGAGTATATGAGAATTGGACTTATGCCTGATCTAATGAATATATACACACCCAGGGTCTTAATCGAATTAGTATATTTTACAGGCAACAAAATATTTATCATTACTTTAAGTTCAGTTACATACTTGACCTGCTTATCGTAAGTGTCTGCATTTGACCGCTGAAGAACCCAAGTATCTTCCAGAAAATTAATCCAGGTTTTGAGAACATCTGCTTCAACCTTACATGAACTAATGGATTTTGAAAGTTCATCTTCCTGTCAATCAAGGTCAAATCAAAATCTCAGACAACTGGATGCTGAGAGTAACACTATTCAGGAAAATTTATTTAAGGATATGCAAAGAGTGAAAATAGAATCTCAAACCTTTATTTTCAGGTGCTCAACTATCTGATTGTTTGCTTCCTCAAACTGATCTCTCTCTTCCCTCACATTCCATAATCGTGCTTGAGCAGCAGCCAAAGTAGTGTTAACCTACACCTCAGACCCAGACTTCAATTATTTATAAATCAGCTAAGAAAAGTTTCATCACTCCTTCAACAGCATCACATATATTAAAGTTGGAGTCATTTTTGACAATATAATAAGGCAATCTACCTTATAGTATACTTGAAGAACAAAATTTAAATTCAATGTCTATAGAACCTTAAATATGTGAAAAGTTCAAACTGGGCACTACAAGATTTCTCAACAAATATCAATCCATAATTCATAAGGAAGCATAAGACACAACTAGATTGCTAGAATCGGGCACATCACATGAGTAGAAATGAAGAAAATAATAAATAAGCTTATTTTCTTAAGAAAATATCATTACAATTAGCCCGACCATTCCCCTCCACCAACAAGAAAGAGTTGAATATGGTGATACCTTTTTCAATTCAGCTTCAAGATCTTCTTTTTTGCGTTGCAGTTCAGATATCTCTGCTGTCAATTCCTGAAATTGAGGATAGAAGACTTAGTATTCAGAGGCAGATGTTATTTTTCATTATGGTCTTTGCTCCTATGCACACAAGAAAATTGATCATCTCACTACAAAACTTAATCAACCACACAGACCCCAAATCAGAGTGAACCAATTGAAAGAGATATATGTAAATGTGTGTATGTATATATATTGCACGGTGATCAAACCTTCCACAAAATACAGACAAATAAACCCAAGAGATAAGTGCAAATTATTAACACATTCTGGATTATCTAGTCAGGCATAAACTATGAAGAGAGAACAAAAAAATAGAGAATATATGATAAAGGAAGCTACCTAAAATTTCATGGTAATGTAATAAACATGCTCTTGTAAGAATTGATCATATTGTCCATATATCATTTTAATATATCAACAAATTGACATACAAAACAACAGCCTAGATGAGTACCCATACAACCATGAAATCCAAATTTTAAATATAAAACATTCCACAGCAAATACAGAATAGCAATAATCAACAATAAACATAATGATGCCCTGTTGAAACATTACCTTCTCCTTTTCACTAGCTTCACCATCTTTAGCTACTCGAACTTTTAATGCTTCCTCCTTTTGTACTCTGTCAAATTAGAGAGAGAATATGGTTTAGTGCTCAGTAACTCGAGCAAAATATTGAATAACCAAAACCCTGGTTAATCAGAGTTACCTTGTGACATCATCTACAAAAACTAAGCAAAGAACTAAAAGTGTAGGCAGAAGGTAGAGTATTTATTAAATCTGCTCGTGTGCTGGCACTTAAGAAAAATAATCAGCAGTCTTCTTTGGTAGTGCCCACTGACAGACATGATTGAAAAGAAAGTTCAGTACCAACCAATCTCTGAACTCCTAGAATAAGCCATTTATTTTGAGCCAAAACACTAGAGTCTCTTCACTAAAACCAGTTCTCTTAATGAAACCAAATCACAGGCCATTTTCACACCTATAGCCCAAAAATGCAGGCAGAACAATCCAATATACATGAGCTCATATACCCAAATATTTTTGAACAGTAAAAATTCCAAATATCTTGATAATCTTGTTAAGATTTGATAGTGGATCTACTGCAGCATTTCATTGTTTTAGGACATCTCCAATAGGAGAAACTCACATGAGTTGCTTCTCACCTTGAAAAATGTAAAATATGAATTTATGATATTACATCATTTTTTTGCAGCTCAGCTGATTTTAATTTATTAGAAAATTTCTTAATAAGGTTTAAAAAACTCATTCTCTCTCCTCATTTATTTTGTTTTGTCCATTTTTATAAGTTGTTTGATGAAACAACTATCGAAAAAATTTAAACTTTCCATGTCACATAAGATTTCTCCAATGGAAAGTTGTTTCAAGCAACTAGAACTTTACTTAAATATCTCAATAAGTAACTTCTATTAGAGATGCTCTTACAATTCAGAATCAACCAATCTCAACTTTGTAAACGTTGTAGTTCTTCAATTATTTCCATTAAGATCTTCAAATTAGTTATTTAGTAGGATCTGAAACATGTTTTTCAGTTTGTGTGCTTTATTTTTTGCCTCATGTAATGTCAGTTGTTTAGATTTCTCTATGTGTTTTGTAATTTATAGTGGCTAATCATTATTTAAATAGGGCATATACTCATAGAATACTCAGGCCCCAAGTTTGACAGGTACTGTTTAAGTGATGTAGCCATATGCAATGATGATGATGATGAACAGCATTGCTTAGAGCAATACCCTAGCCACCAGATGTTTCATTTTATGTGTCTCTCTGTTGGGTTAGATTCCTAAGACTCCTCCATCTGCATTTAGTCTATATATTCTGATATCCTAATTTGTTTCCATGTCTGTTACCCAGTCAAATACCTGAAATTCCCTCCAAGGTGACAAATCCCAAACTGACATCCTACAAACTTGCACGAATTACTAACAAACCTTGATTCCTAAGACTACAGTTTGCAGCAAATATTCAATAACAGGAAAATTACAAGCACCACAGATTTACTATTTTAAAATGATACTTATAAAATTTTTTAAACTTGAAATAATCATATGTTATAACATCATAAGTAAGAAGTAATTTTACTAACAGAAATATTAATTTCTATATTTTTATATAAATTGATTGAATAAAATAATCTTAAATTAGTGTGAAATTTGTATAAACAAAACAAGGAGAAGGAAATACACAATGGAAAAAACCATTACTCAGCATTTTGCAACAGTCTTTTATTCCAAGATTGTAACATATTTCCTTACTTACCTTCAAAGTAAAATCTTTTACCAATGAATCTTTTCTTTCCAAAACCATTCTCAAACATAGCCTTTTAAAATCAAATTTAACTCCTCTAAGGGGGGTTTGTTTTAGAGGATAAACTGCAGTTACATCTGTTGATAAACAAATCAGTTGAGATTGCAATAAAAATCAAGTATACAAACTTAACTTAGTTACAATCTTGATTTTTTAATAAATTGATTATTAGTGTACTTTATCCACTAATGTACACTCCCCTCACTTTAGACAAGTCAAATCCTCGTAGAATCTATTATCAGGAACAGAAGAGGAAGAAGGTCAAACAATAGTTTTTCTCATAATTGCTTTCTAAGACTTTTGAAGTGACTAACATGGTTCATATCAAGCTCAAGTAGAAAGTTTCTCATAGATTCTAAGAGCACAGAAGTTAATTAGATAATAGAATCCAGGAAGCCATGATGCCGTGTTCTTATAGCTACCAAGAAACAGACACACAGCACACCTGTTTCTATGTGAAGACAGCATACTAACCCTTTATACAAAATCCTATGAACTTGTAGAAGCATATAAATGCTCCATTGTAAAATATTGTCTAATAAGTGATACCTCATATGATCATAACACACCACCACTACAATTTCAACATGTTTCTGACATATTTTAGCCCACTTACTAATAAAACTGATTTATTCTTCAGAAACTGAACATAAAAACTAATTGGAAAAATGCTAAATATAATGCTTTCAACAAAATCTGTTTCTCTGGTTAAAATAAAAATATGAATTCAGATGACAAAAATTGAGAAAAAGTTGTAAGAGAAGATCATAACTTGACAGGCTACCTGTTATCTAAAATACGCTTTTCAGCTTTTACAGCAGAGTTGGCAAGAGATTCCGTCAAAACCTTCAGCTTATCAACCTACTTAAAAACACAAAAATATTGCTATGGACAGGAAAAAAAAATAAAAACATATTACCCAAAAAATAGGGGGAAACAGTAGACATAATGATAGATACTAATGAAGTACATTTAACCAGAACATTCCAATAAGACTGACAAGATTACCAAAGCAGAATAACCCCAAACGTAAGCTCTACTTCTACCATCTCATTTGCCCCCAAAAATAATTAAATCCAAACTAGGACACCTGGTAGTTTTATTGTTTTTCAATTTGTATACAACTGGTAACCAAAATGTAGAAGGGGCAATTAGATCGAAAGATGAGAACATAGAGAATAATGTTTACTTTTTTATAACGTCAGGTTAATGGAAGTGATGATGATTGACAACTAGAGAAGGGTAATTATGAAAATTAGAAATGGCACAAAATCTTTCCAATTTTCTTATCAGCTTCTCTCCATTTTATGAGTGATTCAACTTTGGTGAACTGAAGGTAAATCGTTGCAATTTTAGTTTCCCTATAAAATTAGTTTTTCATACAAGGAAATATAATTTGTACCTCTTGTTCTCCTTTCTCTTACCCTTCGCAAAGAAACTTATAAAGGAAAGAAATGTACCTTTTGAGCATGAACTTCCGGAGAGTCTCCATTGCTTAAATTTTTTTTCTTCAGCAATAATGCTTCCAGTCTGGCACAGATTCTAATTTGAGCAAGGGCAATTTTCAAAGCCTGCAAAATGATTGGATGGTTTACAATCCACTCTCTAACACATAAAGGTCTACATAAATAAAGTAAATAGTAAGTTATTATGCATAAATTTGTATTACATTACATCATAGTTATTAGAATATTATAATTCAAAATAATTTGGCTACCTATCGCTTAGTATCATAAGATGAATCTCAAATGACTTTGTATCTTACTACACATGAATGAATATATGCAATTTTGTACAATTAATAAAATTACACAATTCAATAATTCATTATTTTTTCTTTTTCCTTTCCTCTCTTTCACAAATTCTCATGAAAGAAATTGAAAATAAGCTTGAATTGTGAAATGCAAAGAAATTAAAGGAGCACTTCTCAACTTATCTATTTGAATATTCCACTACTTTACCCACTCATTCAATGCATGCACTCTATTTTACCATGTCATTGCTCCATTTCCATGGCCATGATGGTTGGTAAATTAAACAAAAATTGCTCAAATGAGAAGGTATGAAAGCATCACAGTTCAATTAATAATCGATCACTGTAAAGCTTCAAAATCCAAAACATAAAATATTTAAAGAATAAAACATGACATTTTGATAAATGTTATGTTCTTGTTGTAGGTGACGAGTGACAAGTAATAGAGAGAGGAGTAAAAATCTCCCATGGAACTCAAGAAAGAATTAAGGGTTTTGCAGTTTACTAGCACCAGTCCTTCAATGAAGGGTGGAAAATAAGACTATGACAAGAAGCAAGAATGCGTGCAGCATCCATGACTAATAAAACATCTTAATCCATGGCACACTGGAAGCTAATTGATAAAGGTTTTAGATAAGATTGTTTCAACATATTATTATTATATTATTCACGTAGAAAAAATTCATTGCTGGCAACAAAAGGCTTCAGAGTGGAAGTTATGACAGAAACAAACCTCTAGAGTTGCTGTTGTTTCCTCCGCAGCCTTATAATCAACTTTGCTTACAGGACCCTGTGATGCTGTTATATCAGTGAGGTTTTTCTTAAGGGTAGAGGCTTCAGCATCTATTCTGCAGTCAATAAGCAGAACAAGATGTGAAGCGAGGTCGATTGAAGTAAACATGGATTATTATAACTAACATAGAATGATTGGCCTATATGTGTAAAGACAGATATAATTAACTATTTAAATGTGAAACCATCCAAAAAATCAATCAAGAAAGAAAAAGCTTAGGCCCGGAAGTCAGAAATGATTGAATTTGGTTTATCTTCTGTAGAAGTGACCTGGCCATTTTATTTAATTTTTCTTTGCTACTAGTCAAAGGAATATATTAGTAAACTTTGTAGAGTTGTAGTGCCTGATTATACACATGATATAAATCAAGAGCATCATGACATATAAATGATAAATTAAATAATGTTAATAATTGTAAGTTAAAGTAAATAATATGTAGGGGGGAGAGGGAGGTTTCACGTCAAATCTTTGAACAATATTCTCCTAGTCAGTGCCAATAAAGATATATTTCTCAATGTAAATGCCCAAAAGCAAACATTCATCCAGTCATCATTTTTGTTAAAATTTACTCTTTCATTCACTATACAAAACTTCCCTTTCAAATCAAGGTGGCTCTGTCCCTGCTCCAGTTGCCTAGCCTAAATCACAATATGGGATACAGAAGTTTTTAAGTTACAACCTGAGTCTCCTTTGATTGCTGTGCAGAAGTTTTTGACAGCTTTATTGCAGTTTTTAACCTGTTAAGGCTCACTGTTTTTATCATTCTTTTCTATTTAGGATGATGTGGGTTTTGCTCTTCTTTGCTGTAATCATTATTATCTATTTACTAAATTCCATCCATTATACAGAATACAAATCAGTATTGTAATAAGAAAAGACATTTTCCACCCAAAGTTACTACTGTTGAAATGCTACCGACAAATTATACAGGTAGTAATGAGAGCTACATAGCATTCAGATCAATGTTCCCAAGAGTAACATTTTCCTTATTAGAAAAATAGTCATACAAATTAATTATAAATTTAATAGAATTATAACTTCAAAAAATATTAATCACAGAGAGAAAAAGGCTAATGACCAAATACATAAACAATTTATTACAACACAATTTATACAACAAGTATCCTACTTCTAGGTGACGTAGGCTGCATGAATTGCCTGACATCATTCGGCTTTAGATACCAAATCTTCAGAAATATCACAACACAATTTATAGATTTCGGTATTTGAACTTAAGACCCAATCTCAAAACTTAAGTGTCTAGCAGAAAGGGTACAAAGAATATGACAATGGACACCTATTGCTTCACACTGACCTTGCAACATCAAAATTGATTTTCAACCCTGTTATGGCACCTTGTGCAAATTGAAGCAATTCTTCTCGCTTCACCTAATGAACAAGGTAAACATAAAACAATCTTATTGAATGCATAAAATAAAAAGTTTAAGAGAACACATTGGAGGGCCCTCTGAGAGAAGGACGATGGAAATGGAAGGAAAAAGAAGGCAAGGTGAATTGCAAAGTTTAACGTCACACAATATATCTACTGAGTCGTCTACAGGGGACTACATTTCATTTTAATTACTTTCATCGAGCACTGACAGTCAAGTCACCTTTTAAATTATGATATTAAATGTTGATTGGTATTCTCTCCACACAAAATTATGATATATTAAAAATCCATAATTGAAGTTATAAAATTATTATTTTAATCCCATTTTCTCCATTTTAATAAGTTTTAAAATATAACATTAATTATAAGATTAAATCACAGTTTAAAAATAATATATCAGGAAGAAAATTGACTATAAGAATATAGGTGTGATGAAAATGTGTGATGATATCACACATACAGTGTTTTATTTACAATCAATAATGATACATTAAGGAAACAAATCATTCATGATCCGAAACTTTCAGCTAAATATGACATATTTCCCTATTTACATAAAGATCAATTCAGATCTTTAACAATTATAACCATGTTTGGGAGAAATGACAACTTCCCTATTTGGTTCTTGATAGGAATTTAGTACTAATTCATGATCCGAAACTTTCAGCTATGAAATATGACATATTTCCCTATTTACATAAAGATCAATTCAGATCTTTAACAATTATAACCATGTTTGGGAGAAATGACAACTTCCATATTTGGTTCTTGATAGGAATTTAGTACTAAATAATACATAATTTTAAGTAGAATGCTTCCAGATTAATTTTTTATTTTATTTTATTGGTCTTTTGTACAAATGAAGTTAGCTTCCTCATTTCAGAATTCAAATGTTTAAAATCAAAACTCAAAACTTAGTTAAGGAACACGCTACTCCAGGTATTAAAAATGTCCATTCTCAAAATTGAAAGTTCAGTGCAAATTCATATATTGATTATCAATGGTCTACACATCAAACAAACTTCAATGATTTTATGAAGTCACAACTAAAAACTAGTGTAGTAACTTTACCCTTGACTTTTGTAGTCACAACTAAACACCAAAAATACAATTAATCAAAGAGAGAAGAAAACTAAGGAAGCATTTATTACTGAACAATACTCTGTCCACAGATATAAGTGATGTACACATCATCCTTACCAGTACTTCATCTTCATAGCTTGAAAAAGCTGTTGCTAAATCTTGCAGGCTGCTCACTATGGCATTATGAACTTCTTTTCCTCCAGTAAGACAGAGCCTACATAGATAAGGAAGAGGAAAGTATGATTAGATGTATCTTACAATATTAAGAATTTCTCACAAAGACACAAATAAAATTAAAATTTTATTGCCAAAGACATTATTTTCACAACAATGACACCTTGATCATGCAAATCATGGGAGAATTACACCAAAGGGTTTCATATCCTGGAGAAGTTAGACCACATGTCATTCATAAACATAAAATCTAAGATTAGTTATGGCAGGAAAATGCCACAGGCAATGCAAGTTGTCAATTATAAATCACAATGAGAGATCCAAATATCTATATACATATAAAAGCAATAAACTCACCCAAACATCTCCAGGAGAAGGGAAACCTCTTCCTCATTTGGAGCATGAATAATCTGAGGAATAGAAAAGAGTTAACCCTGCGGTTAACCTCCATTATCAGCAAAAAAAACAAATTGATTTATCCATAATGATATTCTTTTACCGATATAATGAAAATGGAAAAATATAAAACTGCATAGACCCATGAAAAACTATGGACAAGAAGGTATGTTAAACTAGATCAAAATATAACTGATGTCAAAAAAATAAAAAAATAAAAAGTTTATATCAGCTAAAGATAGAACCTGAAAAAAGTATATAGGTGAGGGAAACCCTCACCTTACAAGATGATTTTGTGAGGTTGAATTATGCCAAAACCCACATTGTAACAAATATACACAATAAGTTATTAACTATTATAAAAGTAAAGCAAATTATATTCATTTTTACATTAAATTAATTTTTCGGACATAAAAGGTGCTCCTTTGAATAGTAAATATTAATTCAAACCCACCCACAATCAAGAAGGGAAAATAAGCATACATACATCTTGGGCTTTCACCAAGTTAATATTAAGTATTGCTTCAAGAGTACACTTGAAACAAGCTTCTCCTTTTGCACCCATTTTGCTAAGACAAACTAAAACACCACAGTTTTATGCTTACAGAGCAAAAGATATCTATGTTGTAAAGAAAGGTACCAATATACCATGGGAAGTTCAGGATATTTATACATAATAATTAACATTGATTGAACATACCATGGATAATGCTATACCCTCCAATGCCTGACTTTGAAGGAAAACATCACGAAAATTTAATGGTTCACCCCCAACATCAGAATCATAGTAAAGAACCTGAAAAGAAACAGTAGAATAACAAACACACATAATTAAGGTAAAAGGATGCCATTATGTTTTCTATTTTGAGGACTACATTAGCAACTTAAAAATTTAGGTATCAACTATCTGAAATCATAGACACATAACAAGCTAACAAAGAAGGATCTCATAATACTTTCTAATATCTGTAATACAATGGCATCAAACATTTCATACAATACCTACTACCTAACAACAGGGAAAATTTCCTCCTGTAAACTAGCTGGGAGAAAAAGACAGAAGCCGACAACCCAAGAATTTTATTATCATCCAAAACAGGAAAAAGACATTGCAGTGAGAAAACGAACAGCAAAAGCTTCTGAAGTAGACTAGATTTAGCTAGGGAATAGCTTCAATACACCATAAATCAGGAGGATTGCTAGCAGTGACATCATACTCCTTTTAACATATTTTCTACAATTGTCTAAATTCTACGTAAAACTACAAAATCACGAGTGAAATTTACTAAGCACCGAGGGAGACCTACACAATTTTGTATTTTTGAATAATAGATAGTGTAATAGAAAGAGTGTTGCTAGCATTTCTCTAATTTAAGAGACAGAATAGTCATTAAAGTTATAACCAAATCTCTTGAAGTATAAAATCAGTCATATCATAGCACACTACGGTACACATGAACAAGGAAAGTTTCTAATTCTAACCAGAGATGGTCTCCTTGGGTTCTCCTTGGCTTCTTCAACTGCAAGGTGCTGCTCGAGAGTCCTCTCTTTACCTTCGGCCAACGACGCTTCAGACAACTTCTGAATCTCTTGAAGCACAACCACCCATCTTCTAAGCAACTGCACTCTCTCAGCTCCCCTGTAAGAGATAGCAGCATCTTCCAACCGTTTAATGGTCTGCGCAACACTTCTATAATTCCGAGCACTCTGCATAGTGTACATAGCACCACGAAATTAATATTCTCGTGTCCCAATATTTACACGCCCTAATAATGGTAACATAGCACTTAGATTAGAACTACACACAAAGAGGATGGTTATTGATTGGTCTCGGTTTAGTGACTAGCACTACATACTGATGCATTAAAAACGAAAGGTGGTGTGACAGAAGATAAAAGAGGAATTGAGGATGGGAATTTATTTACAATGCGATCCTGAAGGATTTTAGCACCCTCGGCGACGGCTTGTCCGGCTTGTTGAACGACGGTGTCGGCGTAGTTCTTGACGGTGCGAGTGATGTTGTTCTTGTTACCGACTTCGACGGCTTTGTTCACCGCAGATCTCAGCCACGACATGATTGCTCTCAGCCACTCCGAGTCGGATTTCGGGGATGGAAGAGCGAGGCAACAAAATTATTTAGGATTTCGAATGTTAGGAGCTAGAACGAGAAGACGAAGAACAAAGTTAAGGAGAATCGCAACGAACACCGTGCATCTCTCTGTCTACTCTGCCGTTCGCTTCTTCTCGGATTTCCAGAGGGAGACGCGTATCAAGATTTCGAGGCTCAACGACGCCGTTTCAATCTTCATTCTTTTTTTATATAAAATAATAGGATTTTCACTTAGAATTTCTAAAAATAAGTTTGGTAATGGTATATGGAAAATTTTCTAAATATGTGTAATATTGTCACAAGTTTCACACACACACACATATATATAAAGTGTGAATTAGGTGATCATGTGTTTAGTAGGCTAGTAATTAAGCTTTAACAATGTGGGTTGACTTTATGATGTTCTATCACGATTAATTGGTTTTATTTTATAAACTAAAATCTGTGCCTTTGGCATGTGGTAAGAAAATTGAAAATAAATATATTTAATATATAAGTGAAAACTAAGAAATATTTATTGTAATACTAAAAAAATTAGGAGTTTTTGATTAAATTAGGGCAATTTGACGACATAATTACAAAATTGGTGTAGTTTAAAAAAAAATATTCAAATGGGCAAATGAGAGACGAATTTGATAGGAAAAATGGTGTTTAGTAGCACGATTTGTTTATATATATATATATATATATATATATATATATATATATATATATATATATATATATATATATATATATATATAAATCATGACACATTGCATAATAATATTGAAGTCATGTCATATAAATTTTTTTTTCAATTGTGTTAGACACGAATTTAGTTTCATTTTTTATATTTTATTATAAACTAATAAATTAAAAATTATAATAAAAAATCTAAGAATACTTAAAAATAAAATATATTAATATTAAATATCATTGTGCAAATAATTATTATAATTATAATCATCAATACAATAAAATAAATATTTTTATTTATTTAGATTTGGACCATCCATTTAGTTAGATTGTATATAGTTGTATATTTGTTTACGTCGCATAGTTAAGTCCAAAATGAAATTTGGACTAATACAAGGAGATTAATAACCTTTATTTTGTATTGGATGAAATTAATATTTATAAGCTTTGAAAAATTGATCTAAATTATATACTAGATCAACATATCTACTAATTTGCAAATGGCACGAGAAACATACAGTAATAATATGTGAGCAAGGTAGTTGTAAGGTTTAAAACTACCCACAGTCACACTACCAGTCATGCAATCAGATTGTATATTTTTATATTTGTTTGTTTACCATGTTATAGGTTTGATCATTCTTGAACTTCAAACTCATAACTTTTCATACTATATATTTAGACATAACACATGTCAGCTTATTATTGGTGGTATCTTAGGAATGTCACAATCTCTTTAGGATACTCATGTCATGTTTGTATTATGGTCTTTGTTTTCTTGTCACATTCGACAAACCACAAATTTATTATTTTAAATGTGGTTTTGACTAGGGCATATATTGGCAATGTTTATGTTCCTTTTAAAATTGAGTTTATGCACTATACTAAATTGGTATTCATATGGTCATATCTTTTTTTCCTCAATCATATGTTTGTGTCCATTTTTTCAATGGAATTTGATCGAACCAAAACACATCTTTTGAAACTCTGACTTCAAAGTAGATAATTTAGCTAAAAGTCTTGGTTGTTTAATCTCATATGCTAAAAAACAAAAAGTTAATAAATATGGAAAGTAATGACAAAAAATAAAAAGTTTTAGTTAAAATATATATTATCCATGTTAATTATTTGGTTTTTCAACTCGACATTCTTCAATTTCTTGTTGAAGTTGGACACTATATGTCGAATGCAATATATTGATTGGTTTGTGTCTTATCCAACTTCTTCATACTATAATGCTACTAATATGGTCATTCCTCTATCTGTTATGTTATGATACACAAATATTTCTGAGGTGCAACATATTATTTTAACAATTGGAAGAACAAAATCAAAATTTCATTTGTCTCCCCTTCAAATATAACAAATGTTAATGGAAATAAATTTCAATTTTTATCCTATGCAATAGGTGTCAATAAAGTTTCATGATATCTTCCACTCAAGAATGTCTTGTCAACTTGAATTATTGGCTCACAATAGTTAAATCATTCAATACATAGTTTAAAGGACCAAAAAACACGTTATAGAATGTAACATGATGGATTTTCTACTTCATTAATGAAAGAAAAGAAGGTAGTCATATATTGGACAACTGTACCGGAGAGAGTTTGTTGAACATCTTGGAATCATCTAGGAAGATGGTTGTATAACTCTTCTCAGTCATCAAAAGTCATAACAACTATTTTTTGTTTCTCTATCCATGTTTTTCTATAGCTAATCAAATAATCATGACAAAAGTTTTGATAAGAACAAAAGGGTTTCCTTTTACTAATTCATAAATAATATGAGTAATTTCATTTGAGTTTAAATTTTGATGATCAATAGATAACTTAATTGACAAACATGTATGATTTGTTTTTATTTTTTTTATCCCTCATTATTGTCTAATTTTGCTCAATGAAGTTTTGAGTCTCCATTAACACCTATTTTGTCGCTTTTTACTTCTTCACAATTCGTTTCTCTTAATTCTTCCTTCACAAATTTCTCTGGTAATCTCGTTATAGTATCAGAGCTCTTCTTTTGATGAGTTCTGTTGCGTAAGTCTAACCCTTCTTCTTTCTTCTTCCTCTAGTTTTCTTTTTGCCTTCTTTGTTTTCTTTGTTTCTTCAATGGCAAATGAAAATATTACTCCTAGCTTTATATATCTTCACCCAAAAACCTAACTTCTTTCCCATTATTGTCTTAGGGCAAAAATTGTCATTTCGTTGTGGATCAAAAGTACCATTTGTTGTTGTCTTGGGTTAAAAGTTGCCATTGAAATACTCTTCACCTGGTCTGACATACTTAGTTGGAGAGGGCATGTTGGTAGTCTAACATTGTCTACCTCATGTCATATGGTGTGGTTTAAATACTTGTTAGGTTATTTTACATATTCTCAATTGGTTTTATATTGGAACATTAACATGATATTAGAATTATTTTCACAACTATACCGGTTCTTCATCTGATCATTCCCTTTTTATATTCTCGCATTACTGTCCTTCTTGCTTATGTTGACGATATTGCCTTGATGGACAACAACGAGGTTGAAATCAACAACATTACCATGTTGTTTGACCAACAATTTTATATCAAAAACCTTACCTTCTACATGAAACCAAAATGACAGATTTTGCACCCATCCCCACTCCTATGTTACATTCTTCTTGTACCAATTCCATCAAAGATAACACACCCTTAATGAAGAAGATGTTTCCTCCTTTCGTCGTCTCATTGGTCGTCTAATTTATCCTTTTCTATCACTCATCTCAATCAGTTGGTCGTTTAATTTATCCTTCTCTATCACTCATCTCAATCAGTTTGTCTCTTGTCCTACTACTTCTCACCAACAAGTCTCCAATCACATTCTTCACCACCTCAAAGGTCATATCAGCAATGATCTCATTTCCAGTTACTTTGATTGGGCTTCATACCTTGACACTAGGAAGTCGGTTATTGACTTCTCTATATACTTTGGTGATTTTCTTGTCTCATGGAAGTCCAAAAAGCAACAAACCATGTTTAGAAGTTCTTTAGAAGTTGAGTATTGAGATCTTGCCTCTACTACTTGCAAGATCCAATAGATTACATATATTTTGCATGAACTTCGTATTCCTTTCATAAATCCAGTCATTATCTATTATGACAATCAATCTTTCATTCACATATTACCTCTAACTAGGTCTTCTATGAATGAATGAAGCACCTGGAGATTGATTGACACATTATTTGTGACAAAATCAATAAAGGAATCATCAAGCTCCTTTCAATTTCTTTAACCTTCAAGCAAATGATATTTTGATATTCTCACTAAATCTTTTACTCTTACCATGTTCAATAATCTACATATCAAGTTAGAAATGATGAATATCTACTTCTAACTTGAAGGGAGATGATAAATTATTTATTCAACACTACAACACTAGTTATTAATAGAATACATGTTACCTGTTCATTCTTTTATCCTTAGGTTATTGCTTTATTTTTTTTTCCTTTATTTTATATATTGTGTTTTCTTTTTATACCCAGACGAGAGTGATTTTTTTTTTTATAAATAGAAGTTTTTTCTTTCATGTTTTTGTTTTTTTATTTTTCAAATTCTCTTTATCTAATTTTTGCTTTTCATATGTTTTTATCATTTTTTTATGTGGATTTCTCTAATAATCTTGTTAAGTATTGTTTTAATTTAAAATGTAATTTTCAATAACATGATAAAATATGTTACTATTCAAATCGTCAATCTAAAATTTTATTTCTCTCAATATAATTTTAACTTTTTTTAATATATATAATTTGAAGAAGAGACATTATGCTTTGGTAGGTGAGGCAAACCAAGCATATGTTTGGATTATTCAAACACAATAATCAAATCCACCCACCCAACTACAGAGAAGCAAGAACAAGTCAACTTTGACACCTCTTTGTACTAACTATTCAAAACCATCAGTTGGCTTCTACCTTCTGAAAATTTTTGTCACAGCATAATCAATCTCTCTACACAAACATGTCAAGAACCAGCGGTTCTAAAATACAATTCTTAGGGAATCGTAAGTATCATTTGACGCTAATTGATTTAATTTTGCAACATTAAAAAAAAAAAAAAAAACTACAGCTTTTTTATACTACGGAAGTGCTTTTCCTCCTTCATTTTCAAAGTCGTCCGGAAAAGTAGCATGCGATGTGATGCCCGTAACCAAAAAAACTAATATTTAATGATGGAGCCGCCAAACATTTATTTTATTATTATCTTTTCAAGTGCGCTAGTTAGGTGGGTAGGTGAGAAAAAGAACATAAATATGAGTCCCTATATATTATTATTATTATTATTATTATTATTATTATTATTATTATTATTATTATCATTATTATTATTATTATTCAAATATTTCGCATAAAATTAGAAAATTATAAGAGTCATATAATTTTTACAATTTTCAAATATAAAAATGTAGAGGAAAGCTGTAAAATAATTGCAATCTCACTCCTATTAATTGTGACTAAACTCAGAAAAATCAAATCTAATAATTAATAATATTTTTAAAACCAAATCGGTTATTGAAACCCGTAAAATATAAGTTTGGAAAGTAGAATTTAATAAAATAATATTTTCATAATATAATAAATTTATTAATAATAATATTTTTATTAAAAAGATAGTAAAATTTACTTTAATAATTTACATAATTATAATAAAAATTATAAATAAAAATATATTAAAATGTAAAAAATAAATATTTATTAAAATATAATTAAAATATAATAAAATAATTATTATTTAAAATTGATATAATTAATATAAGATAAAAATAAAATATATTATATATTTAATATTAATAAATTTGATTTTAAATATTTTTTATTAAAATTAGTTCGATCAAACAAATTTAACTAATTTTTTTATTTTATTAATATATTTCGATTTTTTTATTTTATTAATATATTTCGATTTTTTTATTTTGTTTCAATAATTAAAATTTAATTATTTAAAAAATAAAAATATTTTTTAGTTCGATTTTTAGATGAACTGATCGGTTCGATTTATTTGAAAAACAAGAATGATTTTTAGTCTAATTTTCACATGAATTGATCTGTCTGATTTTTAAAAGTATGATGATGAGTTTTATATATATATATATATATATAAATCTAATATGATGAAAAAAAATATATAATTGTAAATTTGATTTAAATGATTCAATTAAATATTTATTTAATCAATAACTAATTTGATGATTGCTTTAAAATAATTAATATAATTTTATTTTTAAAAAAATTGCAATAATGAGAGATAGAAGGTAAAGTTGATATACGTGCAGTCAGTCCTATATAAGTCTCAGTGTTCTTGCATTGTTTTGCAAGTGGGCAACGAAAACTGAGACGAGTCCTGTTCATATTCTTAATAGAGAAAAAAAGTTCGACAATGGCCGCAGCACCAACCATCACCGACGTCCAAGTGGAATTCCTCCACTTTCCCGCGGTCGTTACTTCACCAGCCTCCGCCAAAACCTATTTCCTCGGCGGCGCAGGTTCTATTACTTCCTCCAATCAAATATCAATCTATATATTTCTATTAATCTACATATATAACAAATCAACTATACAATTCTATATATGATCAGCTGATTATATAATAATATTATCATGCAGGGGAAAGAGGATTGACGATTGAGGGGAAATTCATAAAGTTCACAGCCATCGGAGTATACTTGGAGGATAAAGCGGTGGCATCACTCGCCACTAAGTGGAAGGGTAAACCTTCTGAAGAGTTGATCCAGGCCCTCGACTTCTACAGAGATATAATTTCGGGTCAAAACCAAACTTTTTGCATTTTCTTTAATTTTACTTCAATTTTAATGTTAATTTGATTGCATAGTTTAAGTAGTACTCTAAAAGCGAAAATAATAGAGACAAGAACATCATTAAATTAAAAGAGACAACAATAATTGATGTTATTTTAATTATTTAAACAGGGAGATTATTTTTCTTTTAGAAATAAAATGATCAAATATATTATGGACAAAATAAAGGTCAACAAAAGCATACTATTAATGAATTGCATAGTCTATTTGTGACGTGGAGTACCTAGGAAAGGGCAGTGGAGTGCATGGTGTTGTTGGTATAAAAGATTTAAAATGAAAAATGAATTGGAAGTTGGTTTTGTTTTGTATACGTAGGACCCTTTGAAAAACTGATAAGAGGATCGAAGATTCTGCCATTGAGTGGGCCAGAATACTCAAAGAAGGTGATGGAAAACTGCGTGGCTCACTTGAAGTCTGTTGGGACATATGGTGATGCTGAAGCCGCAGCCATTGGAGAGTTTGCAGAGGCCTTCAAGAACGTGAATTTTCCACCTGGTGCCTCTGTTTTCTACAGGCAATCACCTGATGGAATCTTGGGGGTCAGTATATGCAATTACATTTCGTTCTTCAGCTTTTGTAGTAATGATACATACCATTCCTTTAAAATGTTGTAATTTTTTATGGCATATAAACACATTGTCACATATACTCTGCTTAAAAAACAACAAAGTTGTTGCATAAACCTTAAATAAGGTCAACTTTCAGCGAAATAGTCTAATTTCTCAAAATTTATTATGTACAATTTTTTAAATATAATATATTAAATTATATTACTAGATAATTTAAATATATTTATAAAAAATATTACTATTGTTAAATTATTTTTAAAAATAAATAAATATCTATTAAAAAAAAACAATAGTAATAATTATTTAATTATAAAAAATATTTTTTTTAAATAATAATAATTTAAATTATAAAAAAGTAATTATTATTATTAAAAAATAATTATTAATATATATATATATATATATAATTATTAACTAAAAAAAGTAAGAATAACTTATTTCTTCCTATAAGCATATATAATTTTTGTTTAAAAAATATATAATATCAAAAAGTCATAATTAGACGTGTTTAATAGCCTAATTAAAATAAATAAAAATTTAGGTGTATAAAGAGTTTGGGGAGATGAAAGGGAAAGAAAAGGAGAGAAGAAATGGAAGGAAGAAGACAAGAAATATATAAATATGTTTGGTGAAATTATGATACATCATTTATAATTATTAAAATAAGGAAAAAAATATTTATAATTTTAATTATCTTATTTGTAATTGATGAGTGAGGTGTTATTTAGTTATTTTATTTTATTTATTTTTATTAGATATTGATTCTTTCTTATATTTAATTATTTATGATTAATGTTATTTTATTTATCTTTAATTATATATTAATTTTATTTTATATTTATTTATATTGTCTCTTTTATATATTTATTTTTGGTTATTATTTATTAATTTATATTTATATTATTTAATTGTTATTTTTTTAAAATAATAATTATCTATAAAAATTTGATTATTGAAAATAAATGTTAAACCTTTTTGAAAATAAGTTAATATCATTCATAAAAGTGATTAATTTTAGTCTTATTTATTCTCACTAGTCATCATAATTTTAATTTAAATATTTATAATATTTTAAAAATATTTATAATATAAAATAAATAAAATACTTTGATAAAATTAAAAAAAATAATTTTGTATAATATTATGTTTTATTATATTTATTTTCATATTTCTATTTTATCTTTTGAGCATGTTAAATCTAAAAATAAATAAATACATTAAATTAAAAAAATAAATATCATTGATAAATAAATTATTTTTAAAAGAAAAAAAATGCTTATTAATTCTAAGAATTATTTCATGAGAACAATGCATGTGTAAAGTTCATATATTTATACTGTATATTTATATCATATCTTATTTTTTCATGATTAATAAAAAATAATTATTTCTTAAAATATGAATAAACTAATAAGAAAGTGATAAAAAGAGACTCAAAACATTCATTTTCCAGATATGTAATAGAAATAATAGCTTTTTTATCTTAAAGATATTTTATCACATCTTTCTCAAGGGATCATCCTTTCTTCTCTCTAAGATGAATTTTTCATCAAATCAAATCCATGCCCTCAACCTCAAGAGATTTTTTCATTGCAAGAAGCAGGTGTTTATTTAGTTATTATATATATTAGTAAGTGTATCTGTTTTGTTTTATGAACCACAGCTTAGTTTCTCTGAAGATGCAACGATACCAGGAGAAGAGGCTGCAGTTATAGCGAACAAGGCTGTATCAGCTGCGGTATTGGAGACTATGATCGGAGAACATGCTGTCTCCCCTGACTTGAAACGCAGTTTGGCTTCACGATTGCCTGTTGTATTGAACGACGGCATTATAGTCTGAGAAATCAGAATCACATGACTTGAGGGAAATTATCATCAACTTGAGTTTTTCCAATATTCTTCTTTCCTCTCTCTCTCTCTCTTCCTTCTTCCTACAAAAAGTAATTAAACTTCTCATTTCCTACTTATGTATGTCTACCGCTTTATCAAATAAATAAAATCTGAGTTCCACTTTTACTTCGTTAAAAATAGTGGGATTGAAAGTTTTATGTTTTATTGTAATTCTATGTAATTAAAATAGTACTGTACAAACTAAAAATATTTAACAGTAGTAAATAATATAATATAATATAAACGTGTCCGTTATTCTGTTCCATGGTAACAATAAATGACTACAATATAAATAGAGAATAAGTAAAATGACCGTTATAACTTTTAAGCAAAATGCATATGGAATTATTTGGTATAAAATAAAACCGTAAAAAATAAAAATATTTTGATAATTTTTTCTTTCTAGTTTTTAAACATAATTTTAGAGAACATTTAAAAAAAAGCTATTTTTAAAATAAATTTAAAAAATTAGTTAATAACTTTAGTTTAAAAATTTAACTACTAACAAATATGGTTAACTCTCATCTTTAATTTAAATGAATGTGCTTGTAAAAACTTGATAACATACATTTTTATTACTAAAAGAAGACTAGTTCAAACGTTAATCTAGATTTCTCTCTCTTTCTCTCTATACAAAATTTTGTTCGATTTATATTTTTATTTGTTTAGGTCTTAAAAATATTTTCAAGATAATTTAGTTTTTAAAAACTTTAAATTATTTAATTAAAAATATTAAATAAACAAATCCTGATTTAGTAAACCTTTTGTTTTTAATATGAATAAAATAGAAAATAATGATAGAAATTAATGAAATAAAAATTGCAGATTTAAATTTTTATATTTAGAAAATAAAATTTCAGTTGTTTTTTTTTTATATATTTTTATCCAACTTATCAACAATTATTCGTACTTTTGTTTCTATTTTTTCTCTCTTCTAAATAAATCCAAAGGAGAGAAAGTGAGGAATAAAAGACATTGGTCAAGTGAGTGCAAATTATTAAATAATGTACTTCTGTTGGGTTGGTTTAAGTTTTTCTTTTTTCTATCAATAATTTGTGTCTTGATAAATAAAAGACAATATTTTTAAATTATTGGCTGAGGAATTTTTGTATTATTATGATATATTAAAAAAATACTTTATTTTATGTACCTTATAAAAACAGTCATTCTTGTTTTGGTAAGTGAGGTAAACTAAGCCTAGATTATCTTAATTGTAATTATCAAACTCATGAGTGAACTAGTTAACTTGCCTATGAACTTATTTATGTTAGTAATGTAAAATTGATATTATTATATTTTTTGTTAAATTAATATTTTTTATATGAAATAAATTATTACGAGACTATAAATTGAGTTTACAAAATTTCTACGAATTTAGGTAGACTTTCAAATTTAATAACTTTATCCGAATCAAATCCACCCACCCAAATTGTGGTTTGAAATTCCAACGAATGTGAGGGTGGTTACAGAAAGGATTTAACAAAATTGTCGTTATGAAAACCCAAATTGTGATTTGAAATTCCAACGAATGTTTGAGGGTGGTTACAGAAAGGAATTTAACAAAATTCTCATTATGAAAAATAGTAGATCTAAAAAGAAGAATAAATATAAAAGATTTGTCTCGAACAAATTTCTTTAAGAATGAGATGAAAATTTATAAAAATTTATAACTGATATAATTGATTTATAACATTCAAAAATTAAAAATTATTTATTTTTATTTAAATAACAATTTAAAAATAAAATATAATTAATGTCAATAATATTAAAATTTAAATATAATATATTATTTAAAAATAAAATTTAAATATATAAATTTTATAATAAAATAAAATACAATAGTTGAAAATTAGTTTCGTAACGTGTTCAGTACCTTAATATCAACCACCCATTTTTGTACAACTGAACAAAATGTTTCACCGTGGTGTGTTCAAAATAAAATAGAAGGGAATTTATGGGTCTTGTATTTCAACTTTTAGGAGATCATGCCACAATGTAGTTGGGTCAGTGGGTTCTTGTTTCTGGACTTTTATCTTTAGCTTTATCATACATTTTGTTCTTAATTATGAATACACACTTTAATTATAATTTTAATCTAGATGAAATCTCTAACATAGATAATACATAAACGAAGAGTTTGCATATGAATTGCAACCCCACATGGCTGCTTGTGAACTTCATTAATCTTGGTGAGTTGAATCTAAAGCTCAGTATTCCACCTAAAACGATTAAAAAAATGTTACATATTATTGTAGTCAATGTATAGTAATTTAATTTCTTTGACGTAGGAGTTGTATCATTTGACCCAAAATTATATTTAAAAGAAAAAAAAAATCTATTTCTAGATCCATGATCTCTGCCATTCAAATTTTTTAATGAATAAGAATTTTTAATCAACAATTAGTAGCATGGGTGCATTAAAAAAAGGTGATGGGAGTTGAAACAAGTGAAGTGTGAGGTGGAGTGGGTTGTATATAAAAAGCGTGTGAGTTGTTGAAGAAATTACAACAGAAAAAAGAGTGTGCAGTTGTTGCTGTTGCAATGGCCATTCCAGCATCCGTCACCAACGTCAGTGTGGAGTTCCTTGAGTTCGCTGCGGTGGTGGCACCTCCTGCCTCTACCAAATCGTATTTCCTCGGTGGAGCAGGTTCCTTCTTTGGTTCTTTCTTAATTCAATGTTCATTGTCTTGTTACGGTTTGATTTAGTTGAAAAGTTTGTAGGTGTGAGAGGGTTGAATATTGAAGGAGAATTTGTTAAGTTCACCGGAATCGGAGTTTATTTGGAAGAGAAGGCTGTGCCGTGGCTAGCTGCCAAATGGAAGGGAAAGAGTGCAGCTGAATTACTTGAATCTCTTGAGTTCTACAGAGATATCATCAAAGGTACTACTGCAGCTTTTTTTATCGTTTGATCATTATATTATATATACGTATCAATCTCATTATCTTCTACTTCATGATCGGAAATGACAACGCTATTAAGAAACTCAATTAATGGGAGATATTAATAACAACTTGATAATTAACTAATTAATATTCAAGATATGAATTATGAGAACAACTCCACATTTTTTTTTAAATAATTACTAAAATAATAAAATAAACTCAATTAACTAGAACATACAACAAAATAAATTCATTTTCACTCAATTACTCGTTATCATTTCAATTTTATATTTAAATTTAAAATTTTAAATATTAATATTTTAAAAGATTAATTAATTTATTATATTATTTTTTAATATTTTTCTATTTTATTTAATTTTTTTATTTATATTTTAATTTTATTTAATTTTTATATTAATTAATTTATTATATTATTATCTTATTTTTACTTTTTATATTTTTTTACATTTCATTAATTTCTTTAATTAATTTTTTTAAGGATAAACACAAAATTAATTTTTTTAAAAATATTTTAAATAAATCTTAATAATAACTAATATTATTTTATTTTTAATTTATTTTTATTAAATTATTATTTATCATATTATTCTTATTTATTATATATCAGATTTTATATTAATAAATAATTAATATATATTTTAAAGATTAAAAAAATTAATAATTTAAAATTTTATTACTTTAAATTAATTAAATAAAAATAAATTTATTAAATATTTTTATAAATTATATATTTCATATTTTAAATACTTTATATTTATATATAAAATGATTAAAATTATATATATATATATATATATATTTTAATATAAATATAATAAACTAAAATATATATTTAATTAATAATTATAAATTATAAATATTTATTTATATATAAAAATATTAAAATTTATTATAAATATAATTACTTTTTTAAAATTAATATAAATAAAAATATAAAAATAAGAATCAACACGATACAGATAAAAGAAATGAGGAATCAGAATGAAAAAATCCGCTGCACCACACCCATGTGTGACAGTTGATATAAATGTATTTTTTATGTTATTTCCATAAGTATTATCGTGTAAGCAGTGCACAGATGTCACCTGAACAGGAGGCATAATAATCTCAACATAGGATTGTAGGACGATGAAAAAGACTTCAAAGAAAAACCAATAAAAAGTGAAATTATTTAAATAAAAAAAGTAAATAAAGATTAAAAATTTATTTATTTAATTTTATAAATTATATTTATTATGTTAATATTATCTTTAAATTATTTATTATGATTATAATTTTTAAAATATTTGTTAATATCACATAATTAATTATTTTATTATAAATAATTGGTTATATATTATATATTTCACTATTCACAATTTTTTTCATAAATTCGAAGATAATTTTGTTTAGAAAACGTAAATTTACTACTGAAAAAAATCAACTGTAGATACACTTTTAATATACCTAGTCAAACAAAAGCTATATCATATTTGTTTTAAAATAACATTACGGATTGGATAAAAAAATTATTTTTAATCTAGCGGCTTTTTTACTCTAACCTGGTGTACTTTTCCAAGAGTAGTTAGCATAGCTGTCATTTTCTGATATGCTAATACAAGGGACATTATTGGTTCAAATTTAAATAATTTCTTTGCACATGTGTTGAATACAACTATGAAAATGATTAGTTCAAATTTAAACAAATAGTCTTCTTGATACATTCAATTCTGTGCAACTCAACTCCATTATTATGTAGTTCAAATTGAAATTCTCTCTTCTACTTTATGTTTCTTTACTCAAGTGGCAGGGATTCAATCAGATTTTTTCTGGATTAGAACTTTTAAAATGCATGTGAGTTATTGTAATTTAAAAATAAAAGTAAATATTTTATTACAAATTTTATATTTAAATTATTTTAAAAAGAAAAAAAGTGATTAAAATTAAAAAAAATTATTTATATAAATAGTTTTGACTAAATTTTAATTAATTTAACTATAAAATTTATAATAAAATATTTAATTTTATTTTTAAATAACTCTCTTAAACACTTCTTTTTAGATATACTCTTACTTATTAATTTTTTTAATAAGTGAGAGGACAAGTATGGAGAAGAAAACTTGAATTTCATGTCCAACCACTATTTTCTTGTATTCGATTCAATGGTTGTCACTTTCATTTTTAAAATTGTTGAAAGAATGGCAACAGAAAAAATGGAGAATGATTGTGTTTAATCAGGTCCATTTGAGAAATTAATTCGAGGGACAAAGTTAAGAACATTGGATGGACCTGAATATGTGAGAAAAGTGTCTGAGAACTGTGTGGCCTACATGAAATCCGTTGGAACTTACGACGAAGCAGAAGAAAAAGCTATTGAGGAATTCAGATATGCATTCAAGGATCAAAATTTCCCACCAGGATCGACGGTTTTCTATAAACAATCACCCACTGGAACATTAGGGGTTAGTATAATCACCAAGTGCTTGTGAAATTGACTAGTAGGTGCACATAGTTCATTTTCTCAGTGGCACATTAACTTGGATTATTTTTCCATAAATTGCAGCTTAGTTTCTCAAAAGATGAGACAATTCCAGAAGATGAGTATGCAGTGATAGAGAACAAGGCACTTTCAGAGGCAGTGCTGGAGACTATGATTGGGGAGATTCCTGTTTCTCCTGCTTTGAAAGAGAGTTTGGCAACAAGATTTTATGAGTTTCTGAAAGAGGCTGATTCCAACATTGAGTGAAACTCAGAAATGCAACAAACATATCATTTCAACAATATTCAGAGAGATATCTAAATAACGTTTTCCCATAGGCCATTGGTGAACTTTCTGTGTCTTTTTTAATCTGAAGTATGTACTATTCCAATTTCAATAATGTAAACCAGTCATTTCTAAAAAAAATTTCCTACGTCGTTTGCCAAACTAAGAAAATAGTTTTGAATAATAAAATTAAGATGGTAAGATTTTCATTTTCACATTTTTTTTTATACCTAACTAACAAATATTTTTTGTCTGCACTTTAAAAATATACAAAAATAAAAATAAAAATTATTAGTATCAATTTTTTTTTTGAAATAATTAACATGAAGATTAAATAGATAAATTCTCACCCTTCATTTAATAAGAAAAATTCGAGTTATTCGATAATAGAGACGAATTTAAATTTTTCTTGTTTAAAAAATCCTCATCCTCATCCCAATCCTTTTCTTTTTCTCTCTCCGTCAGTCTCATCGACATGCATCGCCAACACAAGTATATTAATCAGTAAAGTTGAAAAATAATTTATTTTTTCATACAATTTGAAACATATCTCTTTATGATTACTATGATGAAAAATCATAAAACATTTGTATATAGAAAAGTATAATAATTTGTAAAAGGTTAAGTATTTGGAAAAGTTGTTGTTATATATAATATTTCTTTATAAAAATATTATAGATTATTTTAATCACGCACTGTGTGTCATATCGATTATGCTATAACAGATTGCAAGGTGATAGGTATGTGATAACTCCTTTTTTATTATAGATTTTTATTATCAAATATCTCAGTGCATATGATTTTTTTAAAGTATTTGATCTAATAATGTTTAAGTAGAGAACCTAAAACAAGTTTTATAAGGAATAAAAAAATAAAAAATATTTAATTGAATTTTGATGATACATGAATCTACTAAATTTGATGCAAGCACTGAGTTTCCCTTTGGCTAGAACAAGAGGGTATTTAAAGAAAGAATAGGAAACTTAAGAAATGGAGGCTCTTTTAGATGGTTCCCTGAAGAAGGGAAACTTGGAGATAAAAATGACTTACTTTAATGATAATGTTAATAATAAATTCATCTTAAATTGTGTTGGGTAGCATCAATTGTTCTACGAAGGTCGAAAGTACTTGATAATGGCTGACTAATGATCAAAGAAGTGGAAATTTGGTGTAGACAAATTAACATAGTTAAGGATATGAATTGGCTATCACGAGTAACCCATCACGCAACCCCTTTTTTGGAAAAATGTTAGTTTTTTATAATTTATAATATTTTTTTAATATTATTTTTCATGTTTTATTATAATTATTTACAATATTTTTTTTTTCTTATAAATAAAAGAAACGCAGAGGATGTGAAATATTTGTTGCTCATTTAGGCAAAAATAGATTTTTTTATTTTATGATTTTTAATCTTAAAAGTTTTATCATCACAAATTTTGATTTGAAAAGTTGTGGAAAAAACTTGTTTCTTATAAAAAATTTAATATTATTTAGTGTTTTGAAAATGAGATGACAGATATTACTTCAATTAAAATTCGATTTAGAAATTAACTCATTGTTTATACATAATTAAATTAATTTAAAATTACAAAAAAAATCAATTAATTTTTTTATCAATCAGTTTTAATAAATAAAATAAAGATAAAGTGTTTAAAAATTTGGTATTTTCATCTTACTTTTATAATTATTAAAACAAATTTAAAGAAAATTATTTAAAAATAAAAATAAATATTTTATATACAGATTTTACATCAAAATAATTTAAAAATTGTCAAAATATATAAAATTTTAACGATCTTAATTACAATTTTATTATTGTAACCTTATATTTCACTTAATCATATTTTTTTAATTAGATTAAATGTATCTTTTATCATAATTATTTTTAATAATTAAACAAATTTTATTGATTAATTCAAAATTAAATAAAAGTAAAAAATAAAAAAATTTCCACGATATTATTAATTGATATAAGTTACATTTCAATATATTAATGTATTTTAAAAAGAGTATTTTAATTTTTTTTAACATATAATTGATCAAATAATTTAAATAATCTTAAAATTTATAAATGATATATGAATTGCAATAGTATTTTCTTTAAATAACTTATAATTATTTAAAAATAAACAAAATATGTTTTGAAAAAATATTTTTTATTATTTTTTACTCTATTTTTCAATTTGATCACACTATTATCAATTTATTCTATTTTTTAGTTATTGAATTTCATCTCTTCCATCGTCTCAATTAAATAGTTGACATGACAATATTGTTGGCATCAACTTTATTAAACCAGTAAAATTAATTAAATCACTAAAGTTAATTGGGTTTTTGATCGAACAAGTTTTGCTAAAAATATTCAAATAACGTTTTTTATATTTTTAAAATTAAAATTTTATAAAAATATAATATTTCAAATTTTGTTTCTTCCTATATTTATATCCATTATATTAATTTTAAATAATATTTATTTTATTATATTTTTAAATGTTTAAATATATAGTATAGTTTTTAATTTAATTTAGTTTTAAAATATGATTATTTTTTATTAAATTTTAAAAAATAAATATGAGATTAATTTTAATATATATATATATATATATATATATATATATATATAATTTTATATTTTTTTAAAAGAGTGATTGATTTGTTAATTACATTTATTTTTTCAGTTAATTTCTAGATGACTATAAATAAATGGTTTCGATAATTTAATATCTTTATTTATTTAATTTGACATAAAACAAGAAAATAAGAGTAAATTTCATCAAAATAATTTTAAAATAATATATAAAAATCTTATTTTTAATTTTAATAACATAATTTATTTTTATTTTATTATTAAAAATATTTAAATTAATTTTAAAGTGATAATCGATAAAAATATCCAAAATTAATTAATTTTTTCAAAGATCAAATCTTTGACTATAATAATATCATAAATCTTTATAAAAAATATTATTTGTTACGAAAAATTAAAAAATATATAAATATAAATTAATAAAAATAATTAATTAAAAATAAATAAACAAATATAAAATATGATCAAAAATAAATTAAATAAATAAATATAAAAAATAATACATATATAACTTAAGATAAATTAAATAAATAAATGTAAAAAAATTCATGAGATAAATTAAATAATAAATATAAAAAAGTTTAATAAGATAAAATAAATAAATAAATATGAAAAATAAATAATACATAATTAAAATAAATATTAAATATTAAAATATAATTAAAGATAAATTAAGTAAATAAAGTAAGAGAAATAAATAATATAATTAAATATGTAAATATGAATAAATAAAATAATATTATAGATATATCACTAAATAATAATAATTATAAAATAAATAAATAAAATGTAATTAAAAATATAATTATAAATAAAATAATAAATATATATTTAACTTATCTTAATATATTATAAGTTATCGTCATAATGTTTTTCTTTTTTCTTTAATATTTTTCTTTTCTTTTCATTCTCCTTTGAAAAGACATATATTGATAATTCTTTTTATCTTCCCATTCTTCCATGATATGTCTCGAGCAATCGCTATCCAAATATCACATTAAATTCTTGGTGTCCAGATTTTCCTACAAAACAAATTATAAGTTTTATTTAGGTACTTAATCAAATTTAGATCCTCTGATATTAGTTATATGCAGTATATCTTTAGGTAGTCACTTATATTTTCCTCTTGGAACACCATAATTTTTAAAATAGCAGGATTTAGAGGTATGACCAATCTCAGAACAATAGAAGCATGTTATAAATGATGATTTGCTTAAATTCAGAAAATTTCTGGACCTATCTAATCGATTATATCCAATCCCTTCTCTGTTTAAAAAACATCTTTGAGATTTCAATAAAGCATCTAAGTTAGCTTTTCCTAGTGTAAATTCTGAAAGTGTTTTGATAAGATACTTGATTCTTTCCAAATGATTCTTGCAGTTATCACATTTATCCACAAAATTCTTTCTATTTTTTTCTAAGTTTTCTAGTTCTGTTTTTAGATTTTCATTCTCATTGTCAATTTGTTTTAACCTATTTTCTAACTATCTATTTTCACCTTTAAACCTATTATTAGAATATACTAATCTTTTAGCTTCATTATGCATTTCATTAAAATCATATAGCAATTGATAATAACTATTTTTATCATTGGATGTAGTGGTACTTACACTAAATTTGCTTGATGTTTTTGTATTTGCTATTAAGAGAAATTTGCCTTTTCATTTGAGTTTCTACTTGACTCGCTGGAAGTGCTTGAGACATTGTCTTCCCAAGCAACGTATGTCTTCTTCTTTTTCAAATTCTTGGTTTCCTTTCTTTATTCCAGTTTCTGCTTCACCTTGAAGATTGCACAATCTAGTTTGATGTGTCCAGGTTTTCCGCATTGATAGCATGTAAGGATATTTCCTTGTTCTTGTTTTTTAAAGGGTTTGGAAACAAATTTGTTAACAAATTTATTTTTGTATTTCAAAAATTTAGAAAACCTCTTTACCAGTAGATTCAAGTTTTCATTGTGATAATCCTCTTCTTCATTTCCTTGCCTCAAATCCACTTCTTTTTGTAGTAGTTTTCAATGCAACAATGTTTCTTCTTTCAGTTTCTTCTTCTTCTTTGAGTCTTCCTAATTCCAATTCATGTTCTGTTAATTTTCCAAACAATATAGCCATATTTATAGTTGTGAGATCTCTTGATTTTGAAATGACAGTTACCTTGGATTGCCAACTTCTTCGTCAAAGATCTTCCCAAGAGTCATCAAATGATTTACAATATGAGTAAATCTTTTCTGAATATTATAGATGCTTTCTCCAGTCTTCATTCCGAACATTTCATATTTTTTAATGAGTATTTTTTTCTTGCTCTCTTTACCTCTTCAGTTCCTTCATGGATGACTTAAAGAACACTCCACATTTCTTTGATTGTTTCCCATACAGAGATTCTATAGAATTCATCAAGTGTTAGTGCAGAAGAAATAATATTCCTAGCACTAACATCATAGTGAGCTATTTTATTCTCATCGAAGTCCATTTATTAAAATCTTTGACAATTGTTATACCATCTTTAACCTTGGTTGGTTGAAAATGATCATTAGCAACAACATCTCAAACACCTTTATCAACAGATTCAACGAAAATCTTCATTCTATTTTCAAAAAAGGATAATTTTCACTAGAAAACAAATGAGGTTTATATATAGATGCACCTTCAACAAAAGTTTGAGAAATGTTTGTCATTCTTTTTGGATCAAGATCAAGTAACTTTTGATAACTCGACTCTAAGGCCAATTGTTAATAAAATGTTAATGACAAAACTTTCCCAAGAGGGGGGTGAATTGGGTTTTTAAAAAATCTCTTAAATTTCTAATCAATTATTTAAAGAGCTTTTCTTGATAATCAATTATGAAAGAATTATTACAGCTTATATAGAAAAATAAGTATACCAAGATGGAGAGATGAAGAAAAGACACACAAATTAGTACAGATTCGATTTTTTTAATCTATATCCAGTTTTAACCAAGCAACCTTAGCCTAGAGTTTTTCACTTAATAACAAATTTACAATCTAATAAATCTAAATATCACAGTTCTTGAAAATGTTTTACCTCACAATTTTCAAGTTAAGAAATGTAGCTAACCTCACATACATCAAAATTTAAAAACAAGATACAAAAGAAAGAGATTAAATGAATTCACTTTGGATTTATATAATTAAGCACCTATAGCCAAATAATTTTTCTTTGAAATTAAACTTTAAAATTTTTTGCATAATTATGTTCTTTCCTTAATGTCAAAAATGTTCTTTCTAATTGCTTTTGTTTGTATTTGAAAATTGATATTGATTAAAGAAAGTTTGTATTCTTTTATAAAAAGAAAATTATTGTAATCTATCGGATATAATTGATTAACATATTTATCTAATCGATTATTTGAGTGCAGATGATATTATGAAAATAGTCAAATAATCAATTAGATGTTTACATAATCAATTATTATCACCTTGTATTAAAACAATTTTTTTGACAAATAATTGATTAAACAACTACATAATCGATTATTAGCGCGTCTTATAAAAATTGAATTTTAAGACATCGATTAACCTTTTATCTAATCGATTAGTAATGCGTTATGTTAAAACAAAATTTTTGACAAATAATCAATTAGGTGACTACATATTAGCGCGTTTCATGAAAACTTAATTTTAAATCATATAATCGAGTATCCCTTTATCTAATCAATTATTAATACATTGTTTCAACATATTTAATTATTCAAAGTTTAACTTATTTGATTTTAAACAAACTAATTATCCTAACTAGTTGACATCATCAAAAAGATATTTCATAGTTTATCTTATCTCTTCATCATCAAATTATCCATCATATTATGAATATAAATTGCATCATAATATGTTAATATATTAAAAAAATATTCTAATTTTTTAATAATTTATATATTCTTCAAATTTAAACGGATAAATGATTTGAAATAATTTTTTTAAAACAACCGACCGTTATTTTAAAAAAGAGGAAGTATTTATTTAAAATAAATTTTTGTTTCATTCACATCTCATGGATTGTGTTTGATTTTCCCTGAACACGAATTCTCAAGCATTCAAAACAGATAAGCATAATTCGTTGTTTCACAATAAATATCAAATACAACAATTCAGTACTTAGACAACAGACAATAACAACAGACAATATGAAACTTCTCTACCACTTATTAGTAGCACACCAAGTGGTAAAAGATTTTCATCTTCAGATGGTGATAAAATCACTTATCAGATTCAGGGACACCACCATCTTTGAGTAACTCAGATAATCTGGAGGCCAAACTCTGTTTTGCTTCAGGGGAGACGCCATGCTTCCCTATCATTGACTCCAACACAGCCTCTGAAAGTAGTTTGTTCTCTATAACAGTAGTAGCTTCTTCTGGAATGGATCCATCCTTAGAGAAACTAATCTGTTTTCACTCCATACAAATATATTTTTTTATGACAAGTTTCTTGATCTTATAATAATTATTTTATATCAACAGGTTGACATTGAAAAATGTTTAGAATGAGTATGCATAAAAACAAAATTTATAGGAATAACAATGACATGGTGTGAGATTGATGCATGAGAACAACCACAACAAGTGTAAGTATTGACATCAGTAATCACTAACCGTTAATGATCCCTTGGGTGACACTTTGAAAAGGATGGAGGAGCCTGGTGGGAACGTTTCGTCTTTGAAAACAGAAACAAACTTGTCTATCGCTTCGGCTTCTGCATCAGTGTAAATCCCAAGAGACTTCCAAATGGCTACACAATTTTCGGACACCTTCTCAGAGTATTGCTGCCCCGTCAAGGGTAAGATCATTGTCACCTGCATAAATTTTTCAAATGGACCTGAACAATGAACATAGCATCCTTTTAGTTTCTTCGCATTCACATGCTAAAAACCTTATAACATCCATTTAATATATTCATTCATATTTTTTTGTTCTACAAAATAAGTAAAATTTACCTGTTTTTACTTCCTTTGTTACTTTTTCTAAACACACTTTTTGTTTTTGTTTTGAGAAATTAATATTTCTAAAATTATCTAATCACAATCAAACCGTAGTATATACACTCGTTAATGACTGAGAATGTATAATTTTTTACATTAAAAATAAATTCATGTAGTTAGTTAGGTGAATTACCTGTAACGATATCTCTGAAGAACTCTACGGATTCCGTCAACTCGAGAGCAGACTTGGCGTTCCACTTAACGGAGAGAAGAGGAACGGCGTCGTGTTGGAGGTAAATTCCAATGGCGGTGAACTTAACGAACTTGTCTTGAATCTGGAGGCCCCTGACGCCGGCGCCGCCGAGGAAGAAGGCGTTGGCGGAGGAGGGAGGCTTGACGGTGGGGGAGAACTTGACATTCTCAATGTCTATGGCTGTTACTGAAGGAATTGCCATTGATGTTGGAAGTAGTGATTGAAGTTGAAGGGTTGCAGTGAATTGAAGTGAACGGAGAAAAAATTGGTAAATAAAGAGTGAATTATGGCGAATGGTAGGTAGAAGAATGGGAAACCAGAGGTGGCGCCATCAAGCATTCAATGCCATCTTAATTATTTTATCGAATTTCTCAATTCATTTAAATGCTATGTTTATAAAAAAATTCTTTCAAAATTAATTATTAAGAATTTCTCAGTTAGTTGGTACTCACAGATCTGGATGTCTGTGAATACACGTGTCTATCTGCATTTCTATTATATTATTATATTCTCACGATAGAAAATTTTTTTATATTTTAAAAAAATATTTTTTTAATTATTAATTATATATTTAACATTCTATTGTAACATATTATTTTCTGTTCGGTTAAATATTCATTTTTAAAATTATAAATTTCAATAGGTTTTGTTTGAAAAGAAACAACATATATGTGAAAAAATAAAGAAAATAATTTTAAGAAATCATGGTTGAGAAAAATGAAATAAAGTTTTTATAGTTATGTAATTATGTATAGGTAGTGATAGTCTATTAATAAAATTTAACTTCATAAATTTATATTATAAATAGCACAAACTTGATTAAATAAAAAATATGTTAGATAGTTATCAAAATAAATTTAGAAATATAAGAGAAAATTATAGTTTAATTAAATAAAATCTGTGTTAAATGAATTTTTTTATTTAAATGACAATTAATATTACGTGGAATTTCAAATTAATTTTAGTCATAATCTTATAATATTAACTTATTGTTTTATTTTTGGTATTCAATTTTATGTGAATTACAATTTTTTTATATATTTTTTAAAAGATTTACTTCTCAAAATTTACAATATATATATATATATATATATACATATATATATATATATATATATATATATATATATATATATATATATATAATAAGATGATCGTTAAAATTAATCATCTAAAATATTATCTATTTTAAATTTCTAATTGATTATTAAATTTTTTTAAATCACTTTAATGATTATATATATATATATATATATATATATATATATATATATATATATAAACTATTTTTTCACCTCAACTCTTAAACTCATATATTAAACATAAAATTTATCTCTTATTTAGATAAACTCTCTTATAATTGTTTACTAATAAATAACTCCTTGACCTAACTTCTCTATCTCTTTATTGAAAATTTGACCTTCGGTTCGTTATTTTTTTCTCAATCATTTGATTTATTAATTACATACACTCAAAAGTCAAGAAAATGCAAAGGAATTCTAATGACTTGTAAATTGGATATATATATATATATATATATATATATATATATATATATATATATATATATATATATATTCCTTTTCTGATCCATCTAAGGACACTATAGCAAAACAAAAAAAAAATATATTTTTTTTATTATAGCAAAGTGGTGTTGGAGTTTTCCTTCATCACACTCTAAGTTTATGACCTACGAAACAACCCTCTTGCATACATTCGGGATCTACGTTGAATAGTAAATACAAACTTCAACACCCAATATGCTTTGGGATTCATGCAATTTTAAGTTTTCCCATTTTTTAATCAAATCATAGTTTCCGGAATTTGAGATCTCATTTAAACAAAAATTACTATATTTATATGGATTATTCTATTTGTAATAAAGATTGTGATTGGAAAAAAAAAAAAGATAAACATGATCAATTTTAATCCGACACAGTAATTTGGAATCAATTTACTTATGAATATCTGAGAGGAGAATGAAGTAGTAGTAGTTGAATACATCAGTCAAGAAATTGCATTAGATTACACTTGAAGTTGAGGAACAGATTAAAGTATAATTTGAATAAGGCTTTATTTAAAGAATACAGCCTGAAATTAAGTAGCTTAGGCATTGAATATCAATCATTGATTATACAATACATACATATATATATATATATATATATATATATATATATATATATATATATATATATATATATATATATATATATATATATATATATATATTCAAGAGATTGAAGGTGAATCTGAAGGTGAAGTTGCAGGTGAAGCTGAAGTAGAAGTAGAAGCTGAAGGTGAAGGTGAAGTAGAAGTAGAAGGTGAAGGTGAAGGTGAAGTTGAAGTTGAAGTTGAAGTTGAAGGTGGATTGACTAGTCTGCAGTTTTGCCTGATCTCACCGTCTGAGCCAGTGAGTGGGGTAATGAGGCTCATCTTCAACATTGCATCTGAGAAATCCTTCCTGAAATTCCCCATGCCTCTGCTATATTTAAGCACTAGATCGCTTGTGAGGGTAGCAGTTCCATTGATGTTGGTGAAGAGTTGTTGGTCCGAGTGGACAAGACCCTTTTGCTGCAACAAGTTCTTGAAATACGAATTGTCAAATTTGAATGGACTGCTCGAATCGAAAGCAGCTAAATTGTTATCACCACCTTCTGAGGGACACTTTGATTGCATTTGTCTTGCAAACCTCGGGTCAATGTTGCTCTCGTTATAAATCCTATTTCTGAAGAAAAAGCACCTCACTACTCCTACTGTGTGACCACCTGATCCATCAACACAAATCAACTAAGATTCATTGTTATATCACTCATTTTTAACTTGCTAAATTTGCTTTCATTTCACCGAAGGTAACAGGTATATTACCTGATAAAATAACCATTTCTTGGGGACTGAAATTTTTCTTGGCGAAAGCAGTGATGAGGCCATCAAGATCCAAAAAAGGAGCTGGTAAGTCTGAGTTAGATTCAGCTAAACTTGCTGTGGTTGAATCTCTTCTGCCTAATGGTACGTCCCATTTTGGTCCACCAAGCTGAGATGATTAAGCTTAACTTAATTACATTACTTTCTTTAATCATATTAATTATACACACCATGGTATATGAATCTTAATTAAATTAGATAAAGTTGTAATTACTTACTTCAAAAACAGCATCTCTCGCAGCAACGGCTAATATGTCAGCACAAGAGACAACGCCTTGGCACATGTTCTCCAACTGTGATTTTATGTTATCTATCACATCAAAACCCCTAAGGGAGTTAGCATTTGGAAATGAATTCTTCTCCCCAGTGAAAGTATCCGTGTCGTCCAACAATACTGATGCATCACATCCCTGTACGTCAAAACAGATCCATGCCTTGATCATTACATAGTTTGAGATATTGTCATAAACTCATTCAATTTGTATGTAACATGTAACATCATTCAATTACATGTCACCTAGAGATTACTCAGACTAGAGTGATTGTTCATTTTTTAAACCTTGTAATTAATATTGTTTTCCTCTATATCAATATACTATACGCTAGTACGTTACACTATAATCTGCATGAGCAAGGCTTGGATTGTAGACACATGCATCATGCAAGAGTTATTTTGAATGTAAGGTTTTTATATGCAAACATAAGATAAGATATGTTGGGAGTGAAATGATGAGACTTGCTTGAACGAAGCAGTCATGGAAATGGAGTCGGAGCAAGGATGCCCCCATGCGAGGCTCATTGTGTACAGCTTCTCTCACTGCTTTCATTATGACGAAAAGGGCTCCGGGACAACTTTCATCATAGAAGTCAGAGGATAACTGAGCTGAAGTAACCCCAATAACACATGCAATGAAAGTCACACAAAGTTTTAGTTTGAGACGGGGAAAGGGCACAGAGAGAGAACTTGTGGTAGCCATTCCCAAAAGTTATAGAGAGAGAGGCTTTAAGATTAATGCTGGGTGGTTACCATGGCCATGGAATGTTACCCTTATATAGAAGGTTAAATCTGCAACATGTTTTTTGTTTATGGACGTATATTGTCCATGCCCTCCGGGTCAACTGTGTATATATTGAATCATATCTAAGAAAGAATCTTTTGACTAAAGCAAGGTGGAGGAAGTGGAGAAGTAGACCTGCAAAGGCATGCAAATGATTGAGATTACGAAACCGTGTATAATATCAAGTTGTTAGCTGTACTATGCTAAACACGTTTGACTTCATCAAATTCTTGCAGATTTCATTGCAAAACACTGCATCTGCACTCAACCTATAAAGCTGGATCGAGCCAAATACTAGAGAAAACACCTATATAGTTTATGGCTGTCAACTTGTGTTCTTTTTTGGATTCCAACTTCATTGGGTTATGATCCCTTTGTCTTTAATTTGGTGGCCAAAAGAAAACCAGAGAACGCTTCTGCGCTAATTAAACTTTGGGAAAAAAAATTAGGAAAAAGGATTTACTTTGTAAGAAATTAGAGGAAAAGATTAATAACTTCAAATCTTGGGGAAGGGTTTCCGAAACCAGAAGCTACTTTTACAATAATACAACACAGAGACCTTTCCACGTTACCACAATAGGATCATTTCTTCAAGCAAAATTAGCAATGAATATTTTCATTGCTATTTAATCCTTGAGAGAAATCAGATAAAAAAGTATTACTCCTCTATTAATAGATGATAACTCTACGGGATGATGATGATGATGATAAAATCTCTTGATTTTCATTTTTCTTTAGGCAATCTTACTCCTCGACACGTGATAACTGATGATCTTCCATTTTATTTATTTATTTTATTTATTTAACCTTCTTCCCCACGATCCCTTTCTTGTAAATAACATAATTATTGGTAATTTAAATTAGGGTTTAGGAATTGAAAACGAATGTGGATAAGTCAATTAATTAAATAAAATTTGTTTGATAAAATTAACTAATTAGTTAATACGTATATAATAGCATAACAGGATAACAGAACATATACATAAATAATTAGAATTAAAAAACTTATATTTAAATTTGCTAATATATGTAAGACAAAGTATGTTTCATAAAAATAAAATAAAAATGTGAAATAATTAATACGTGCTTATAATAATTGGTTGAAAATAAGGACATTAGTAAAGGATGGTAAAAAAAATGTTTCTAAAAATTAGTACTGGCAAAATTGAAAAAAAAAAAAAAAAAGTGTAACTGTTAGGTTATCAGTTGTATACTACTTTAGTAAGTTATCAAATAATAACTTTTAAATTAGTCACATGAAACCTTTTTTTTTTTACAAAGGGTTCGTAATGAAAAAAATTCAATCATTATTTTAATTTAAAAAAAAGGTTAAATGATAAATTTATAAAGTTATCTTGTCGTACACATTTTTAAAAAGTTTTTATCGGATGAATAATTTTACGTTTGGTTTGAAGTATGCAAAATATAATTATTGAAATAGATAGAGAAACAATTTTCTAAGAATAAGTAATCCAGTTTGTAAAATATAGCAGGTAAAGGAACTGATCCATACGGTGTGACAAAAATGAATCTCAACCGTAAAATTGAAATAGATAACTGAAATTATTGATCATTTATGCATAAATATATAGTCTGCATTAACTTATGTTGCTTCTTGCGTTTTTCATTAGATATTTCCCTTTAATTTGAGTGTCACTAAATTATTATAGACAAAGTGATATTCGATCCAAAATTGCCATAGAATTTGCACCAACAAAAATATTAACGCTGGTTGTTAAATTATATAAACAAAAGAAATATAATATGATATCACATAACTGAATTGGTAACTACCGTTTTCACACTAACTTGCTCTCTTATTTGCTTTTTGAAAATAATTAAAATGCTGTATCTTAATGGTCGTTAGTTTTAGGCTTTGAAATGATTAAAAACAAAAATTGGTTTCAAAGGTTTCAATTTTTTAAATTTTGATATCAAATGTTAAATTCAAAGTACGAAAGCCTCATCATACTTGGTTTGTTCAGCAATAAGGGGAAAGTGGAAGTTGGTAGTTAAGGTACCCATTGTTTGCAGCCAGAAGCAGCTGTGATCAGAATGATGAAGGTATAGATGAACTATTTGTTTCTAAAGAAATTAAGATTTGACTGTTTTGCAATCAAGTTAAAATCCAATTAAATTCTCTTTCAAATAATTTTTTTAAAAACCAACTAGAAGCTTATATGCTCTTTATTTGAAGATATGAAAAAAATCTTATCATTTGTTGGATAATTATCTAATATTAGTTTTCATTGCATTATTCTTAAACCAAACTAATCTCTTACAAGCCAACTCGTAGCACCTCTTACGAATGGCTTCAGTAGGTGATAGGGGTGTACAGGAAGAGAGGACAATGAATGATTCGCGCATATTAAATCAGAGACTTTAAATAGTCAGAAACAATTTAAAATCACGAAGGCTTAAATTTGAAGGAATGTTTAGCATGCAATCATTAGCATATTTGATGGATCCTATCCAAACCAACATAAAAAGGCTAACACCGCTAAGTCATCTATATAGCAAATTCATAATTAATGATTATAGACTTCATTGGCAAAAACGTAAGAGCACTAGCAGGCTATCGGGTTCATTATTTTGTTTAAAACACTGCTTAATACAAATTGTAGAACTGATCACTCACCAGAAGACTTGAGTCAAGAAAGGCCAATAACGAATAACAGAAAGACTGCAAGACAAGTCAAACAGCTTCATCTTCTACGTAATTAGCGGCTAGGTCCCAATAATGAGGAACACCAGCATCCACAAAAACTTTACGGCCGGCTGCTTCAGTGATGCAATCATGAACACTGAACCTATTGAAGCTGGGTTTCGCAACACTTCCTTGCCACACCAGAACACACTTATTGACAGGCTTATCATCGTCTGAATCTTCATTTTCTTCTTTCTCTTTTGCAACATCACTCCAATTAATACGCCTTAGCATAAGTTTCCCATATCTCTTAATCGACTTGTTTCCACCTTCAACCACAACAACACTGATACCATCGCATATCACAGCACATCCAGTCAAACGGTTCTCTTGAGCATTAACATCAACCCTAAAGCGGGACTTTGGATGTGAGAGATCATTTATCTTGTAAAGGGAGACAAGTGTCTCCAGTGTATTTGGGTCATCAAACAGCTTCCTTTCCTTTTTCTCCCGAAGCTCGGCAGGAGTAAGCTTGCGGGCAATGTTTCTATCTATGTGAGCCTGTTCACGCTCAGCAGCTGCACTACGAACTTCCTTTTCAAGCCGGGTAGGATCTTGAGTTGCTTCAGTGCCAAGTACTTTCATTAAATTGCTAATCTTGACCTTTGGTTTTGGTGGTTCTATAACGCCCTGTCTTATCATCTCTTGACGATCTTTCTCCTTAGCTATACGTCTTTGTGTCCGGAGTTTCTTCTGTTCTTGCTTAGTTAGCTTAAGTGGTTGAGGTGGTGGAGGTGCAGGCTCCGCAGGTGGTTCAATTGGTCGAGGGTGCTCCACATAAAATGTGATCTTGTCCATTTTCAGTTTAGCTTCACCTATGATTCCATTATCAATATCACCATAATTTCCAGCAAGCAGAAGAGGCACATCCCTGATAAATTCAAATAGTTAATTGAATAAATATGAACAGAATCGAATAAGGCAATACTAGACTGAGTATCAAAAGTTAATTTCCATATTCAATTTACCAACTATTCAACCAGTCTGAGACTGGTTTATTCCGGTTTGTCGCATTGTATCTTCTTATAACATGATTATAGTTATAATTACAAAGATAAATAACAGAACACAAAGTCATAACTACTTTTAGTCTTAAACAGACGTATACAGTATACTTGCGGAATCTAAATTGCTAGAATGGTGACATTTACCCTTAAAAACAGGCATTACCCTAATATGAGCATAAATAGAAAGCCGTAGTTCAGGCTGGGATAAACTTACCACCATTCAATTTCTGGAATTTGGTCCTTGGGTTTTTCTTTAATTACAACTCTTTCAGTAATTTCTATTAAGTTTGGATTTATATCAGGAGCAGCCTTTGCCTTTGCCAACTGGGCTTGTTTGGCTCTGTGCTCTTTTGCTTGAGCTTCTCCAAATTTACTCTGCATGAGCCAAATAATAATAACACAGCTGTCAAAGCACATACAAGGCAATTGAAAATGTTTAATTAAAAGGGAAATTCACTGGAGAATGCGACTGTGAGAAGGGGATAGACAGATAAGGGTTATACAGAGCCGAGACATCCTATTAGGAGAGTCTATGTCTACAGTAGGAGACACAGGAGGGTCATGGGATGAGGCTCTGTAAAATTGTAACAAAAAAAAATTACAAATAACTTACTACAGTCAGTTAGTCATTAATTAGGTTGGTATTATAAAAGAAAGGGTTGCGTTAGGAATGGGCGTATTATAATTGATCATTCTTGAGGAGAGTACAAGTTTATTTAAAACCTGACTCAGTTTAACATGAATCAATAAAAACTTTCTTTCTACTCATCCTCTGTTCCAGTACCTTCAATTTTATTGATTCAGCATCTCTTGACCATTTTCCTTCCTCCACAAACTGGAAATTCATCCTCTTGGGTCGCAGGAGCTTTGTTTTATTAATACCCATACTTGCATCAAAATGAGGATCAGATTCAGGATCGACATCCAATACAGGTTTTAGTATTTCAAATGCGTCTTTCTTCTGCTTGTTAATGTTGACCTGGAATGTTCAGACACAGATTCTACAGTTAGGACAGGAATCCCAGACAGAGAAACAAAATGTATAAAAATAAACAACTAAGAAAACACCACACCTTTAATGTGCTAAGGTTGCTGGGCTTAGTGACATTAACAACATTTCCATGTTCATCTATTTCCCGTCCCTGAGCATCAAGACGAAGAACAGGGGCTTTGGTGGGTTTCTGTGGAATAGCAACATCTGTCAC